TTTATATATATATATGAGGAACTGACAACTTTAGCACACATGCAAGCCAAGTTTACACACCATCATTGTTGGATGAGCATAACACGCTTTATGGGTATTTAAGTCCATCTCATGTGGTCCAATTATTCTAAAGTTAGTTGTTAGTAGTTTTTATTTTTTTATGATTTACCTCCATGTATTGGTATTTTAAAACCACTAGTTTATTTATTTATTTATTTTTACTTGGTTTAGACACGGTGGCCATCTTTATGTCATGGCGCACAAAATATTTTCATTATACAGATGTTTATGAAAACCTCAATATCTCAGCTCAGGACAGTCCTAACTCCTTGGTCCAAAAACTAATCTCTAGTGCATATGATAAGGTATATGTACATATATAAGGCACACCAAGGTTTGCACATAAAAAACATTTATTCATGCATTAAAGAAATACATCAAGTAACTTCGACAAGAAAAAGTGCATACCAAATCAATAGTACCAAAACCACAATAGTAATAAAGTGCTAATTACATACACCCATAAAAAGGTATACTGACCAAGAGCAGGAGAAATGAAAACCCAGACGTTTCGGCTCTTAAGCCTTCCTCTGGGGGACCTCTCCCTGACTGATCTATGATCCCACTTATATACCCTGTTAGCTCAAGCAAATTAACGTAAGTGTGGACAGCTGGATATGGAGAGATACTTTCTGTTAATGTAATGATATATAGGATCTTCTGTATATTGCCGGAGGATACTTCTGGGTGTCCGTAACGTCATGACGTATATGCGTCAAATTACGCAATTACGTGCAGACGTGATCATGTGTTCTGGCATCACAGATCAACTACAGGAAAACGTAGTGGCCAAACATGATATAAATCAAAGGAAATTGGTATTAATGCATAACGGCTAATTGTATATACTATCTATTGGTCAGTATATCCTAAATCCCCTTTTGGTATGCACTATTCTATGCACCTTTTTTCTGTCAAAGTTACTTGATGTATTTCTTCAATGCATGAATAAACATTTTTTATTTGCAATCCTTGGTGTACCTTGGGTTCATTACTATTTCTATTATGTATATATATATCCGGTGAGGGAACTGATTTTTTCCTTAAAGAGCACCCAGTGCTTTTTATACCACATTACTTCTCATTCACTGTCAGTTGAGCTTTTCTTATAATTTTACATTTGAATATGTACATATATAAACATTTTGCACTTTCTTGTTCCATAGATTAAAGGGACACTCCACTGGCTAAATACAATTTATTTATTTTTTTAAATCACTCTTTAGTAACTATTCCCCATATGAAAACGTGCATGCATTTAATTATACATCTTTTTCAATGGCGGTATATCTAAAAACAGCTCACAAAAACGGCAGTTCTCTTGTCTGCTGCTTTTTCAAGCCCTCCTCTTCTAACCCCGCCCAGACTTTCTGTGACTGTCCAATCAAAGACTTTCCAATGCATTTTAATGAGAAATCTGGGCAATTGCTGCCTCTTGAGTTCAGAGACAGGCTTTCTTATTGTCACCTCCTCAATTCATCTGTACCGGGGTGATACCTCCCATTGCTGTGAGTGCTATGACAATGTACCCCTCCAAAAAACATTTATGGGTTTAATCACAAAATAGCTTTTTCAAGCATAATCAGAATTGAATTGCAAAATGAAGGCTAAAATAACCAAGCTGTGACTATAACAAAGATGGAGATTTTTTTCCATGTTAAGCCACATACAGATAAGGAAGCCCAAAGCACAGGAGGTGGGGCGAAACCCGTCACGTGATACATCGTCAGGAAGTGGAGCTGGAACCTGGCATCTTGAGGAAACCAGGAATTAACATACACAAGTCAGCATTTTATGCTGCAATTGAGCCTTCTTGTGGGATTACTATATGGTATAACCCACCAATGCCTTGAGTTAGCAGTTTTCATTGTTTTATGCATAATAAAATTTGTTGTTATACTATGCCATTGGGGTTTCCTGGTTCTGTCATCCCTGCAGCTATTTCATACTAAAAGTACCATCTTTTGAGAATTCAAACCTGTGTATTGTGGGAGTTATTCTCTCTCAAGTGGAGCCTCGGTTAGCGACTAGCAGCTGTTTACTAACTGCAAAATTTCACGAGTAACAAGGACTTACCGACTGCCGCTTCCTAATGTAATTTGCCAAGTAGTGGCTAATGGCTTGCATAATTCTTTACAGCGGGTGCTTTTCAACCCTGTTGCTGTCCCCTTAACTTAACACCAGCCTCTTACCAAGTGCAAAACGCCTGCTAACTCCCCATTACATCCTCTAGGAAAACTACATGTATGTTATTTGGCATTACATTAAAACCATAAAGTACATATTAAACAGCAATAAGATAAAAAAAAAAACATGCACATGATATAAATCATAAACTATTCTTTATATACTATTCTTTATAAGTAAAGTGTAAGCACCAGTTACATGAATGATTCACATAACAGAAATGAACCTCAAAAATTGCATACAGTGTATGTAAAAAGTCCACACCTTATGTAAACACAGTAATAACAATGTAAACGTCATGTATTTTTCCACTTGTAATACGATCTCCCAACAAACAAAAACCCAGAAAAAAACTTTATTATAAGGAACATTTTGAATAAATAAATAAAAAACCTACAACACTGATTGCATAAATCTGCATACATTTTTATAATGTGGAATTTAGCTGTGTGCACAGTTAACCAGCCAGTCACATTCTAAACTATGCCTGTAGGTAAAAAGCATCAACTTGCCATTAATGAAAGAAATTAATGAAAAATCTAATTAATCCCAGACTACAGTCAGTGTTTGAATGTTTGGTGTTGCATTCTAATGGAAGAGCCAGACCACAAAGAGTTGCCAAAGAAATTGCATGAACTAATTGATAAGAAATCCCAATTAGGAGAGGAATATAAAAAGATGAACCTTGGAGCTCTGGCAAAACCATCATATATAAGTGGAGAAAAATGATACCACAGAGACATTGCAAAAATCAGACTGAGCTTCCAAAGTTGATGAGAAGATGAAGAATAAACTTGCCGGGGAGACAATCAAGTAGTCAACAGCAATACTGAAGGAGCTACGTGAAATTCTGACAGGTACCGGTCACTTCTTCAAGACGGAAACCATTTCTTGCAAAACGGGACATCCAAGTTCATCTAAATTATGCCAAAGGATGAATTCACGAACAACAATATGGGTAAATGTTGGTCTGACGAAACAAAGGATGAACTTTTTGGTCTAAATTGTAAAAGGTATGCTTGGTATAAAGTCAGTAAAGTTCATCATCCAAGGAACACCATACCGACTTTGAAGCAATGTGCTTTTACTATCAAACTTTGGGGCCACATCTCTTCAGCTGGATCCGGAGCTTTTTTTCAAGGTCGATTGCATAATTTATAACTCAAAATATCAACAGCTATAAATATTTTGGCACAAACCTGCTGGTCTCCTTTCAGTAATCTGAAGAGGAATTTCACATTCCAATAAGGCAACGACCCAAAACATAAAACAAGTTACTACATTACTTCAGGGAAATCAAAGTCTTTGAATGCCCCATTCATAGCCCAGACCTCAATCCAATTCGAAACCTGTGAAATGACTTAAAGGACTGTGCATAGTACATTCCCTTGCTTTTTCAAGAAACATGGACATTTTTTTTGCAAAGAGTGGGATAAAATTCTAAAGTCTAGAAATAAATAAATGCAAAAAGTGGTTCCATTATGTCAGTGTGGTTCTAAGTGGTGGGCAGGAGACCGGGGCAGCAAGTTTTTGATGGGATCTCTTTGATTGCCCAGGTCCCAGGAGCGCTTTGTACTGATGCTTTTACCTGAGATGTGACATCATCCCAGCCCCAGCATCAGTACAGAGCTGGGCAATCAGTAGAGAGTGATACAATCAGCTCCCCACAGGCCCCCAGGGATGAGTTTCTACTCCAGCTACAGTTAAAAACCCTTCTTTTAACTTACCTGATTTCAGCACTGATGTCCTTCAACTGCAATCAGGCGCCTCCTCTGCCGATGTTATGACGATCCATAAAACTAATGCACAGTAGCGCCATACGCCCATTTGGCCTTTCCCATAGGAAAGCATTGAATCAATGTTTTCCTATAGGTTTTTTTCAAGGCATTGGACGTCCTCATGCAAAAGAGGAAACTGCAGAAAGCACCTCTAGCTGTCTAGTAGATAGCCACTAGAGGCAGTCTTAACCCTGCAATGCAAATGTTGCAGTGTCTCTAAAACTGCAATGTGTTATATTACAAGGTTAAGGAGACAGGGACCATGCACTCAGACCAGGGCCGGATTAACATAGGGGCTGATGGAGCTGCAGCTCCAGGCCCAGGCCCATGGAATAGGCCCATTGATTTAAAAAAAAAAATAAAAAAAAAATGTAACATTTTTTTTTCCACACACTACTCTTAGGGATTCCACCTGGCTTTTATTTTATTGGCACAGGCAGTATTTGAGGCTGCCTGGCTGGTGCCAGTGATACTGGCAATACAAATGCTGGTATTTTTCTCAGTATAAACAAGAGATTACTATGCAATACCAGCACTGGCCAGTAGGGGTCGCTGTATATGGAGACAGGCAGGGATAGGAAGTTCCAGCATATCCCTCCCTGCCTATCTATACTCACTGATCTGCAGGGGTGCAGCTACAGAGAGTCCAGACAGCAACTCCCACCCTGCAGAGACAGCCTACAGCTCAGGGAAGTAAGGGATGGGGGGAAAGGCTGCAAGGAGACATATACTGAGATACTAAGGGACATTGGGAGACATTATGGCACAGACACATGGGGACACAGTGTCCCCATGTCTCCCAGACAGTGTCCCTGGTGTCTCAGTGCCCCCTAGTCTCCCAGTGCCCCCTAGTCTTCCAGTGCCCCCTAGTCTCCCAGTCTGCCAGTGTCTCACTGTCCCCATGTCTGCTAGTGTCCCCAAGCTAGTGTTCCTAGTGTCTGTGGCTCTGGTGTCTCAGTGCCCCGTAGTCTCCCAGTGCCCCCAGTCTGCCAGTGTCTCACTGTCCCCATGTCTCCTAGTGTCTCTATGTCTCTCAGTGCCTCAAGTGTCACAATGTCCCCATATCTCCAAGCTAGTGTCCCTAGTGTCTGTGGCCCTGGTGTCTCAGTGTCCCCATGTCTCCCAGTGCCCCCATGTCTCAATGTCCACATGTCCCTCAACCAGTGTCTCTAGTGTCTGTGTCCCCATGTCTTCAAGTGTCCCCTATTTTCCCATTGTCCCCATGTGTCCCAGCCAGAGTCCCCTAGTCTCCCAGTGTCACTGGTGTCTCCGTGTCCCTAGATATCCCCATGTCCCCAGGTCTCCCCATCTTCCTAGTGTCCTAATGACATGGGGACCCTGGGATACATAGGGAGACATGGGGCATTGAGACACTGTGATACATAGGATCACTGGGAGACCTGGGGACATGACACTTGGGGGCACTGGGAAACATGGGGCACTGAGACACTGATATATAGGAACACTGAGACCTGGAGTATTCGACACATGGGGGCACTGAGTCATGAGGGCACTGGGAGACATGGGGGCACTGGGAGGAATCCATCTATACAGCAAAATCAAACTAAGTAGTTTTTGGTGATTTTACAGCATTTTCTGTTATGTCACTCCTTGTGATTTACATCATGTGATGTCACCCATACATATTTAATTATGCAAATAGTTTTTACAAGAAAGGTGGCAACCCTAACTACTTTTCACATACTCTTACTTAAGTATGGAATCTTAAGAGGGATGTATGGGAACAAAACTTGTGTGGACTGGCTGACAATGAATATAGTTAAAGGGACACTATAGTTGTAACCGTGTGTGGTTCCCTTATTTACCACTATAATGTCTTAAAGCATAGAACTTAGTAGGGCTAACCATACAGATATCTTAGCCATAATTTTATATAGTGTAAGAGATCCTCTATTTAACATATATAAATAATTGAGAATACAATATAAAATAAGGATTGTCTTGGAAGCAAGATTGTCTTTTGGATATTTATTATATAAAAATATAAAATCCATTATAGCAGAGTTTATAAGATTAAATTACATGCTTGCAAATATCATTAATAGGTTAACATACCCTTCTGAACATGTCATCATGTCAGCCTCTCTGTCATTTTAAGATGGAGCAGCGTCTGTCTCCAAGTCTCTCCTCTGTATCTTAACATTTAAAAGTACACCTATTTATACCGTAGGTGTCTCCATTTTAGGTTACTGTAGTTCAAATATGAAAAAGTAACACTTCTTTTACTTTATTCAATTTAGGTCCTCCCTTAATTTGGCAAACATACAAGGCCATAACTAAAGGGTGTATACGTCATGGAAATTTTCCTGACTTAGTTCAAGATGGCATCTTAAAGTCTGAATAGGTTATCTGTTGTTTATACTAAGTCGTAAGTGTACAGTCGTGGGAGATTCCCGGATTTGGGGAAGTTCCATTAACTTGGGGTTACCACAGTATATTGTGTACTGCAAGAGTCGTAGTATAGCCTTGAAGCTTGTTTATGCATTATTGTTATTGTAATTCGTCTGGGACAAAATGGCGCAAACATATTATGCACCGGGGTTATTGCTTAAAGAAACATTATGAAAAACAATATGTTCCATTTCTAACACCTTGTCAGTTTGCAATATCTCTTAAAGACAAAGTACACAGTTTAAGAAATACAACATTTCATTCTAAAACTTGTAATATTTGCATTTGCCCGTAACATAGTCACCAGAACAACTACAGCTTATTGAATTTGTTCTGGTGAGTAGAATCATTACCGTCAGGCTTTTTGCTGTAAACACTGTCTTTTCAGAGAAAATGCAGTCTTTACATTACAGCCTAGTGATAACTCCACTGGCCACTCCTTAGATGGCTGTTAGAGATGCTTCCTGGGTCATGGCTGCCTAAAATGCATCCAAACATTCAGTGTCTCCTCCCTTTGCATGCAGACACTGAACTTTCCTCATAGAGATTCATTAATTCAATTAATCTCTATAAGGAGATGCTGATTGGCCAGGGCAGTGTTTGAATCATGCTGGCTCTGACTCTGATCTGCCTCTTTGTCAGTCTCAGCCAATCCTATGGGGAAGCACTGTGATTGGATCAGGCCACCACTTCTAATGATGTCAACAGACTGCTTGTTTTTATGAGCATGCAGAGTTACAGCTTCAGGCTTGAATATAGTAAGATTTTGTTATATTTATGGAGGCATGAGGGGCCCAGGGGGGCTAGATGGTGGTGTTAACACTGTAGGGTCATGAATTCATGTTTGTGTTCCTGACCCTATAGTGATCCTTTAATGTAATGCTGACTTTGGTCTCTCTAACACTGTGGCATGTTCCCTTTCTTCTACACTCACTACATACAGGTTTTCTCTGTCCCAGACCATATACCAGGAGCTTCTGCCTGCTAGTAAGAAGGTAAGGAGACAAGTGGAACAGCGAGTGCTAGGGGACAGTCCTTAGAAAGCGTTGAGTGAGCGCATCATTAGATGCATTTAGGCCAAGCTCAGGGTGCTGTCTGCATATTATGCCCTTAGTTGGCCAGCTGCATGATTGACAGGCAGCCTGACATGCATTCATGCCAGGCTGGCCTTCTAATTCTTTGGGCAGACATATCCTCTTTTTGGGCATGATCACCCCTTTTGGCAGGTTACGTGATTTGTGTCAATGGCACACCCTTTTACAATGCCCATTGACTTCCTGCTTGATTGGACACTGCTGTTAAGGGTTATGGATTTACTTGAAAGATGAAAACATAAATTAGTGAGAGATTAGCCTAGGGTATGTGTTTTCTTATAGCTGCTGTTTTCTTTCTCTCCAGCACCATCTCCATCAGATACATGACGCTTGGGATTGTTTTACTGTTTTTGGTCAATATAATTCTGTAATTAGGCCCGTCATAATTGTCAGCACCAGGCCCACTGGCCTCTTAATCTGGCCCTGACTCAGACTACTGCAATGAGATGAAGTGGTCTGGGTGACTAAAGTGTCCCTTCAAATAAAATGTAAATAAAGTTTGTGTATATGTCTGTATGTGTATATGATTCAGTGTTTGTGCATATGAGTCTGTTTGAGAGTTTATGTGTGTGTATATGGGTCTGTATGTGTTTGCATGAGTCTTTATGTATGTATCAATGAATGAGTGTGTGTGTATATGTACACAAATCAGCCACAACATGAAACCCTTTGACAGATTAAGTAAATAACATTTATTTTATTGTTACAATGGCACCTGTAAAGGGTGGGATATATTAGGCAGCAAGTGAACAGTCAGTTTTTTCAGAATTTCATGTATTGGAAGCAGGAAAAATGGTCACTCAAAAAGATCTGAGCGATTTTGACAAGGGCCAAATAGCGATGGCTAGACAATTTGGTCAGAGCATCTCCAAAACGGCAAGTCTTGTGGGGTGTCCCTGGCAGTGGCGGATCCAGAGCCTGACCTCGGGAGGGGCACTTGCAGATTATTTAGAGAAATAATCCAGACACAATACCCACTACAGCTCAGTGTAGTGGTTATGGTGCCAGTAGTGCCGGGACCCCCTCCCAGAGTAAGTAGTCAAACCGTTTAAGAACAGTTTGACAACTTACCTGAGGTCTGCTTGGAAATGGGGCTGTAGTAGGGCATAGGAGCAGGGGTGCAGTGTGTGTGTGTTTGTGTAAGAAGGACTGTGTGAGCAGTGTGTGTGTGTGTGTGAAAGTTGCAGTGTGTATGTGAGGACGGCAGTGTGTGTTAGGGGGCAGTGTGTGTGTGTGCGTTGCAGTGTGAGTGGGGGGCAATGTGTGTATGGGGGAAGTTTGTGTGTGGGGGGCCAATGTGTGTGTAGGGTGTGTTTGTGTATTGGGGGCAGTGTATGTGGGCAATGTGTGTGTATGGGGGAAGTGTATGTGTGTGTGTGGGAGCAGTAGTGTATGTGTATGGTGGGCAAGGTGTGTATGGGGGCAGTGTATGTATGTGGGGCAATGTGTGTGTATGGGGGCAGTGTGTGTATGGGGGCAGTGTATGTATGTGGGGGCAGTGTATGTGTATGGTGGCAATGAATGTGTATGGGAGCAATGTATGTGTATGGGGCAGTGTATGTATGTGGGGGGCAATGTGTGTGTGTGGGGGCAGTGTATGTGTGTCGGGGCAATGTGTGTGTGGGCAGTGTATGTGTGTGGGGCAGTAAAAGTGTATGTGGGGGCACGTAAAAGTGTATGGGGGGCAGTCTATGTGGGCTGTGGGGTGTGTGGGGCAGTGTGGGTGTGGGGCAGTCTATGTATGTGGGGGGCAATGTGTGTGTGTGGGGGCAGTGTATGTGTGGTGTGTAGGGTATGTGTGTGATAAGGATGGGGGGCTTTTTTAAAAAAAAATTTATAAAATGATTTTTTTTAAATTTATTTAAAATATACATAATGTCCCCCCTCCCTTCTTACCGTTGTTTAGGGAGGAGGGGGGACATTTCTCGATCCCTGGTGGTCCGGTGGAGAATCCCTGGTGGTCCATGTGGTGAGAGTGAACTCTAGCCCGGTCTCCAGGGCTAGAGTTCACTCTCGCGAGATTCGGAGCATTGCCGTGGCAACGCTCCGTGCTCGCGAGAGAAGGACCTGGAGGAGCTGCAGACTGAGCTCCCCCCAGTCCTCTCTCTCTCCCTCCTCTGCCGGCAGCCAGCAAACAGTGCCTGCGGACCGGGGAGGGATATCTCTGATCTCCCCTCCGGTCCATGAAGGCACATTGCAGGGCTGGCGCTTGGACAGCGCCAGCCCTGCATTAGCCGGCAGGGGAGAGGGAGAACCTCAGATTCTCGGGGGAGGGGGGGGGGGCAATTGCCCCGTTGCCCCCCCCCCTGGATCCGCCAGTGGTCCCTGGTATGCAGTTATTAGTACTTACCAAAAGTGGTGCCTGGAAGTACAACCGGTGAAATGGTACCAAAGGCACGTGGGGAGCAAAAGCTAGTCCATCTGGTCCAATCACACAGAAGCTCAAATTGCTGAAAAAGGGACACTATAGTCACCAGAATAACTACAGCGTAATGTAGTTATTCTGGTGTCTATAGCCTGTCCCTGCTGTTTTTTTAATGTAAATGTTGCCTTTTCAGCCAAAAGGTAGTGTTTACATTACTGCCTAGGGACACCTCAAGTGGCAGTCACTCAGAAGGACATTGGAAGTGCTTCCTGGGCCAGTGCTGCACAGTGTACAGCACTGATGTTCAGCGTATCCACGCTCTGCAAGGACACGTTTAATGCTCCCCACAGAGATACATTGATTCAATGCATCTCTATGAAGAAATGCTGAGTGGCGCAATGCTGCATTTTGCCACGTGTGTGCATTAGCCTCCCAATGATTTCCTATGAGAATACATTGGATTGGCTGAGTCCGTCAATTCTGATGATCTCAGCCAAGGAATGCTGAGCCACCGCCAGCGGACCCATGTGGCGAAGGAATAATGGTGAGTTTTACCTGCAAGTTATACAACTAGTCCCTACTCATCCTTATGTATAACCTTTAGAATAATCATACTTTAAAAAAAAAAAAAAATGGGGCTACTTAGGGAGAGGTAACACAACATTACAATATTATTAAAAATATATAAAATATGTATATAATATTATGTCATTTCTGATGAGGATGTTTATTATATATATATATATATATAGTGCTTTAACAACCCCATCAGACATACCAGGTCTGTTTGCCATCAGCAAAGATGGCCGCCGAGGCTTCTGCCCTCAGTCTTGGAATGTTGTAAGTGCGAGTGCCCTTCCCAGAGTGCTTTTCTTCTTCCTGTTTCTTGCTGCGCAGCGTGTAAACGCCGCGGCCTGTACCTTCCCTGTGTGTTTGTGTGAGTGAACCTGTGTGCGCTATGGGAGTCCCGGCATTCTTCCGATGGCTGAGCCGCAAGTACCCGTCCATTGTGGTGCACACGACGGAGGAGAAGGTAAGCCCCGTGTACAGAGACTTTCCCATTTATATTGGGGGCCGTGACCGGCACAATGGCCGCTGGCTCCCAGATATATTATAGTCCGGGCCCCAGGGCACACCTTCTGTGGGTAGTCTGTGGGCTCCCCCCCTCTGTGGGTAGTCTGTGGGCTCCCCCCCTCTGTGGGTAGTCTGTGGGCTCCCCCCCTCTGTGGGTAGTCTGTGGGCTCCCCCCCTCTGTGGGTAGTCTGTGGGCTCCCCCCCTCTGTGGGTAGTCTGTGGGCTCCCCCCCTCTGTGGGTAGTCTGTGGGCTCCCCCCCCCTGTGGGTAGTCTGTGGGCTCCCCTCTGTGGGTAGTCTGTGGGCTCCCTCTGTGGGTAGTCTGTGGGGCTCCCCTCTGTGGGTGATCTGTGGGCTCCCCCCTCTGTGGGTGTCTGGGCTCCCCCCCTCTGTGGGTAGTCTGTGGGCTCCCCCCCTCTGTGGGTAGTCTGTGGGCTCCCCCCCTCTGTGGGTAGTCTGTGGGCTCCCCCCCTCTGTGGGTAGTCTGTGGGCTCCCCCCCTCTGTGGGTAGTCTGTGGGCTCCCCCCCTCTGTGGGTAGTCTGTGGGCTCCCCCCCTCTGTGGGTAGTCTATGGGCTCCCCAGGAGAACAGAACACAGCTATAGGGGCACCTGGATTGGGAGCTCCCCAATAAAACAGGACTTGTTTAATGTGCTCAGCCTGTGCATGGCCTTCCTGAGAGACACACTCAGGGCTATCTAGTTGGACATTTCAAATATTAGGGAACAAAGTAGCCCAGCCTTAGTGTGTGCTAAACTTGGAAACTGACTTTGAATTAACAACAGTTTGCATTTAAAATCCCTGACCAGCAGCCATGCACACTGCTGGCAGTGTATTTAATCACACAGTGCGTACAGCTGCCATGCACACTGCTGGCAGTGAATTAAATCACACAGTGCGTACAGCAGCCATGCACACTGCTGGCAGTGGTATTAAATCACACAGTGCGTACAGCAGCCATGCACACTGCTGGCAGTGTATTAAATCACACAGTGCGTACAGCAGCCATGCACACTGCTGGCAGTGTATTAAATCACACAGTGCGTACAGCAGCCATGCACACTGCTGGCAGTGTATTAAATCACACCGTGCGTACAGCTGCCATGCACACTGCTGGCAGTGTATTAAATCACACAGTGCGTACAGCAGCCATGCACACTGCTGGCAGTGTATTAAATCACACAGTGCGTACAGCTGCCATGCACACTGCTGGCAGTGTATTAAATCACACAGTGCGTACAGCTGCCATGCACACTGCTGGCAGTGAATTAAATCACACAGTGCGTACAGCAGCCATGCACACTGCTGGCAGTGTATTAAATCACACAGTGCGTACAGCAGCCATGCACACTGCTGGCAGTGTATTAAATCACACAGTGCGTACAGCAGCCATGCACACTGCTGGCAGTGTATTAAATCACACAGTGCGTACAGCAGCCATGCACACTGCTGGCAGTGTATTAAATCACACAGTGCGTACAGCAGCCATGCACACTGCTGGCAGTGAATTAAATCACACAGTGCGTACAGCAGCCATGCACACTGCTGGCAGTGTATTAAATCACACAGTGCGTACAGCAGCCATGCACACTGCTGGCAGTGTATTAAATCACACAGTGCGTACAGCAGCCATGCACACTGCTGGCAGTGTATTAAATCACACAGTGCGTACAGCAGCCATCCACACTGCTGGCAGTGTATTAAATCACACAGTGCGTACAGCAGCCATGCACACTGCTGGCAGTGTATTAAATCACACAGTGCGTACATCAGCCATGCACACTGCTGGCAGAGTATTAAATCACACAGTGCGTACAGCAGCCATGCACACTGCTGGCAGTGAATTAAATCACACAGTGCGTACAGCAGCCATGCACACTGCTGGCAGTGAATTAAATCACACAGTGCTCACACAGTGCATACAGCAGCCATGCACACTGCTGGCAGTGAATTAAATCACACAGTGCGTACAGCAGCCATGCACACTGCTGGCAGAGTATTAAATCACACAGTGCGTACAGCAGCCATGCACACTGCTGGCAGTGAATTAAATCACACAGTGCGTACAGCAGCCATGCACACTGCTGGCAGTGAATTAAATCACACAGTGCTCACACAGTGCATACAGCAGCCATGCACACTGCTGGCAGTGAATTAAATCACACAGTGCTCACACAGTGCATACAGCAGCCATGCACACTGCTGGCAGTGAATTAAATCACACAGTGCTCACACAGTGCATACAGCAGCCATGCACACTGTTGGCAGTGTAGTAAATCTCTTGTTTCTTGGCTGAGGCAGAGTAAGGATGACCGATGTTACTGGGTAACAATACAGTTTCCGTCTTGTAGATGCATGCTGTTGATGGGTTTTAATATGTATCCTGTATAGAATGGGGAGTCCAAATCATGTAGCCTTTAGTTGGCTTAGAATTATGAGAACTTCTTTAAAAGATTACCTTTAATCCTTTTCCCACTTAAGTTAAAAAAAAAAAAAAGCATGGATTTCTAAAAGTACGGTAATAGGAATGTAAATTAGTACTGGTGGCTGCGCTCTGACTCATCCGTTAGCGCCACCCTACGATGGAGCAATTACTAAAGTCTGCGACTAGTGGAGGTGCAAACTTGCTGCAAAAACCCACAACCTGGCCAAAGATTTAAATAAAAAATAAAAATTCTACATCCCTTATATGATATGTAGCAAGGTCAATATACCTTGCCTGTCAGCCAGTTATGTGCTAAATATTTAATGGTGGAGGAGAACAGGAGAACTCTTCTGCAGGTTCTCTTCCTGTTACTGCAACTAAAGTGCATGCATTATGTTTGTGGTGTTTTCTTATAGCAGTGCTGTCCAAAATCAAATTAACTCATTTAATAAACTTTTTTTTTTTACATTCCCTTTATCTCATCTGTCCTTCTCCGCCCCTTCTCTTCTCATTCCAGCCTTTTCATTTATCTCTTTTTCTTATCCCCCATCCCCCTGTTAATTCCATTTTCCTTTTATCATTCTCTCGTTATGCTTGGTTTTAAGGAACACAATAGGGTCAGGAACAAAAAATATTTATTCCTGACCCTATAGTGTTAAAAATACCATATACCTGTCCCCTAAATATAGTAAAATCTTACCTTTATTCCAGTCTGCTGCTGGCTCTGCCCCTGATCTGCCTGCTTGGCTGACATCATCAGAAGTGTTGATCTCAACAAATAATGCTTTCCCATAGGAAAGCACTCTTCTACTCATTTTGTTTTTCTGCATAATTACTCTTCCCTTCATATTTTTTCCCTGTATCTACCTCTTCCATTACCATTCATTTTCACCCACTCCTTTCAGTCTAACACCAGTTTTGGCAAATCTCTTCTTTCCTTTAATTTTATCTCCTGCTTCCAAGTTCTCATTGAGACCCGCTAATTTTGGTGCTTTTGTTGGCAGATGACATTAACCAATCACTAGTGCAAGAATAGGCAACCTTCAGCACTGCAGATGTTTTGGACTACACCTCCAATGATGTTTTGCTAACATTGCTGTAAGAGCATTGTGGGAGATGTAGTCCGCAACAGCCGATCCCTGCGTGACTAGTGTCTAACGCTTTTCTTCTTCTCATTTTGGTGGACGTGCTCCTGGGGAATAGCATAGGTCTTTAACACCTTAAAAGAACAGTCTGATCACGATAACGTAATTGCAATGAAATTGTTGTGGTGTGGGGATGTCCTGGGCGCCATCTTACCTGAAGGTGTTAAATCTTTATCTCCCCATTGGGAAAAGTGAGAAGATAAGATGTATACTTTTTTTTTTTTTTTTTGTGCTAATGTTTCTCAATGGGCAGTTGCTTAGATTGTCAGCTGTGTCTGGCCTGAGGGTTCCTGGTTAGCATTAAACAGAAGCGTTCAGAAGCTGGCTTGCAGACTTTGGGGATAAACAATTAGTCAATGATTTAACTGTTTCAGATAAGACGGCACACATTTTTCTGTATTTGTTATAATTTGTGTTCATTGTTGTCCTATTAAAACCATTACTAAAATCTTCTTTTTTTTTTAAAAAAAATAAATAAAAATTTTTTAACCAGCCAAAAGAATGCAATGGCATCAAGATACCAGTGGATACAAGCAAACCCAACCCAAATGAAGTTGAATTTGATAACCTGTATTTGGATATGAATGGTATCATCCATCCATGTACTCATCCGGAGGACAAGTAATTTGCTTTATTTACTTTTTAACCTGGCATTTTAATCTTGAATATAATGCTTTGAAGTAATCAATCTTATCTATAACCATTTCAGACCAGCACCCAAAAATGAAGATGAAATGATGGTTGCAATTTTTGAGTACATTGATAGACTTTTCAACATAGTACGACCCAGGAGATTACTCTACATGGCCATTGATGGTGTGGTAAGTGTAATGAACACAAATATTAAAATGTCTCTATTTGTCCTACAGCTTTATGGTAAAAGGGGGAAAAAAACAACTCTTTGTGTTAGTCTTGCTTACAATATCAGGAAATGATGTATACATTGTGAAAATAGAAATGCACTGTCTAAATCCATGGTCAGCATAACTAGATAGTTCAGTTGTACCCTGCAGTTAACATTTTGTTTGGTGACTTCAGATTTCTGACTACAGAAATTTGATACGATATTGTACACACTTTAAACCACAGTATGATTGTATCCTTCTTTCAGTGTTTGAACAGATATCCTTTTTTTTTAAGGTAGTTCTAAAATTATCAGTATACATATAGCTCTGGGAAAAGAGATCACAAATGTATCCCTGGTATGGTATTATGGGTATGGGTTTACGTAAAATAAAAAAATATATATATTTTTTTTATTCTATAAACTACTCAAAACATTTCTCCCAAATTCCAAATAAAATTTTTAGTTTTAGCATTTATTTGCAAAAAAAAAACTGGTAAAAATGACAAAATATATTGTCTTCAGACCACCAATAATGAAAGGGGTGGGTGGGAAGTCCATATTAATTTATAATCACAATACTTAACTTTCAAGTTCAAAAATTTGTATTTGGTGCAATAACCCTGATTTTCAGTCATTGCTTTCATGCGGCTTGGCATGCTCTACTTCAGCCTTTCATTAGGACACCCCTTCTGGCACAAAAATATAAGCAGCTCAGCTTTGATGCTGTGTGAGCATCCATCATTCCAAAGGCTTTCATTGGGGTTCGGGTCTGGAGATTGGGTTGGCCATAACATGTTCTTGATCCAGTGATCCCCATCCACACCTTGTTTGACCTGGCTTGGTGGCATGGAACATTGTTCGGCTGGAAAAAAAGAATCCTCAGAGTTGGAGAGCATTGTCAGAGCAGAAGGAAACCTATTTTCTTCCAAGATAACCTTGTACATGGCTTGATTCATGCATCCTTCACAAATATAAATCCAGTCTTGCTGAAGCATTCCCAGATCATCACCTATTCTCCACCATATTTCCCAGTGGGTGCAAGATACTGTGGCTTATAGGACTCTCCAGGTCTTCGTCTAAACAAAGCTGAAAATCGGATGCTGAGAAGACGCCTTACTTCAGTCTTCTACAGTCCAACCTTTGTGGGATTTTTTTTTTTTTCGTTGGCTTTGTACAACTTCAGTTCTGACTCTAGGAGACTGTTTCGATTCATTACAAATTGTCCTTGCTGTACACTTCATCCCCAGCTGCAAGTTGCCATTAATTTTTATTTTTTTTGGTCATATGTTATCCAACAGTTGTCAAGTGACATTCAAATGAGGTGGCAGTCATGACAGGGGAGAGTAGATTTTACCCTCTGCTGGTCTACAGCTCTGTTACCAATGTCTGCTGTTTTACCCTGTTATTATGGTCCATCTTTGAAATTTTAAGGATGGAAGCAACCGGGCACTCATTGTATTCCTGTATCCGTAAAGCCAGAATGAAACTCTTCTTTTATCTATAAAAAAGTCTGTTTCCAATTACTTTTGAGGTACTATTAGCACTTCCATACTTGTAGAGATACCTATTTAAGAAAAAATGGAATTGCCTTTTTTTTTTTTTAGTGTTTTATATAGACTAGGTGTTAACGACAAATATGCATCAGTTGAGGTGAGAAGTACAAAAAAAATAGGTTTGTCTTACAGTGAAAAGATATTATATTTGTGAGCTGCTACCAACTCTGTGTGAATGTCCCTCACATTCACTGCAAATAAAATAAAAACTTTCACTGTGTGGTGTATACACCCACCCCAATGAAACAGTGGAGTGCTAGAAATTGTCACTTACCCTATAATTTCGGTAAGTTTTAACGTCATATGACCACAAAAATACAAACCTAGTGTAGTGTATCCAGTACTATAAAGAGGGTATTACTCAATATTGGTACACTCCCATTTAACTGAGCCCCACAGGATAGGCTCAGATCACTTGGGCAAATGTGTACTATGGTGACTTTTCCTCTGTATCTGTATATATTTGGAATACAGAAAGTGGGGAAAAAACCTAGTGCAATATGTCAATGCACTTTTGAATATAGACATATTGCACTAGGTTTTCTCCCACTTTCTGTATTCTTTTTATAAAAGGTAGCCTGGCCTCTACCAGGAGCATTTAAATATCAGAAGCCTCTGGGAATGCGTAACATGGATGTATGTTCCATAGGGAGGCTCTTCTTGTTCCTACACTTCCAACTGCCACACCTTGTTTGGCATTTGAAACTTGCATAAAAATGTACCATGGCAATATTATAAACTGTCCTGAGACCCTACTCTGGTCTGTGATACTCTTCTATTTGTAATCAGTGAGTTATTTGAAATTTATGAATTACATTATTTCAGGCCCCAAGAGCTAAAATGAATCAACAGCGTTCTAGGAGATTTCGTGCTTCGAAGGAAGGAGTGGAATTGACTGATGAGAAAAGTCGCATTCGTGAAGAAGTGCTGTCCAAAGGTACAATTACACATAGCTTGCAAATTATGCTAAAACATGTAATATATATGAATTTTCCAATTAGATTGTGGTGGGGAAAAATTGTGATTGAAAACCCCTTCCACCTGAAGTCAGTGGACACAACTTAGGAAAAGATGCAAAGCCATTAAACCCCACCATAACCTATTTGGATTTTGCTTTCCAAGCACTACCAAGCCTCAATAAGCAAACCAGTAAGCAAACTCATGCTGACGAGTTGCATTAACAACGAATCAGCTGTCCATGAGTGGTTTACTGGCTTTGCATCTTTTCCTAAGTTGTGTTTCAAGCAGTTGTATACAGCAAACACAGACTAAAAGGAATCCATGTTTAAAATGGAATGAGGCAAAAAATGATTCTTTGTTAAGCTAATTTGCATATGCCCACCCAGAATCCTTTGCGGTAGTAACATCACTGCAGATTTGTGATTTCTTTGGGAAAAGCAAGTCTTATGGCTTGACTGGTGTGCAGATTTATGTTGAACATTGTATGAAAAAAAAAAAATATATGTATGTATATGTATATGTATAATTTTTTTTTAAGCAGCGAATACATTTGGAAATATACAGATTTTTCACCCATAGATGTTTGTAGGAATGTTAAGTTTATTGACCTCTTCACAATGTGCTAGTCAAATGAACAGCAGCTGTATACTAATGGACCTTGTTTTTAGTTTAAACATCCTTTTCTAACTTACAATACTTGGACATTATGAGAAGCCATAGGCTATCAGTGCAGATTTGCGCTAGGCTGTAATGAATGTTGCACTAGGAACCATATTTGTACAGGAAGTAACTGCCAGTTAGGTTGAATTTTGTAATGTTCCATTGCACATGAAACTAGTTATCTATTTTTATTTTTTATTTTTTTTATGGTGATTCTTATTAAATGCCCTTGGTATTAATCTGAATTTTTTTTATTTTTTATTTTATAAATATTGATATGCTTGTAAATAATTACATTTGCAGGTGGCTACCTCCCTCCTGAAGAAATAAAGGAACGATTTGATAGTAACTGCATTACACCTGTAAGTAGGATAGGCTATTTTTTGTGTGTTGGTTTTGTTTTTTCTTGTATCTCTTAAACAAACCACTTCTTTCTTCTTTTAGGGTACAGAGTTCATGGATAACCTGGCAAAATGTCTCCGCTACTATGTTGCTGATCGCTTAAATAATGACCCCGGTTGGAAGAATATCACAGTAAGCCACTTTGTCCATTTAAATTGTCAAAACTAACAAATCTAAGTTTTCTCAACAATACATTAAATTTTAATATATTGTTGAGAACTTAGATTTGTTAAAGGAATACTCCATGCACCATAACATAGTCACCTGAATTAATTGGTTATAATACCCTTCTGCCGTCTTGCGTTCTAGTGTTTAATGAACACTGTAGGCACTTGAACTGCTTCTTCTCATTGAGGTGGTTATAGTGTCTCGAGAACCCTGGCACCATCCATCTGTTTAGTATTAAACCGTTTTTATTGGTTTTATTCTAAACAGGAGTTCCCAGCAGCCAATCCCCTTTGTGCTGCTTGGGCTTATGAGGAAGTATTAACCTGGGCACCAATATGCAATTGTGATTGATGGACAATATCAACTGACTGCTTTTAGCCTACCACAGAGCCATTTCTGGCATGAAGAGGTATGGCTAGTAGGATTCGTGTAACCTCTGCTTTAGCCATACCTCCAGTAAGAGGGCAATTGGTGGCCAGGGGCCCTCATTCATTGTTAAACTGCTCCAAAATGATTTAAGACTGAATGGATGGGCAATGGCAGGGGACTCCAGGCACTATAACCTATTCGGTGAAATTGATTGGTTATACCTCAGTTGCTATGTTGTTTAAATCATGGAGCCATGCACTCGGATATTATTTCCCAGATAAATTGGACATATTAACATTTCATTACCTAATTGTGTAATGTCGTAAGCCTTTTTTATTTTTTAAATATTTTAACACTGTACCGAGGAAGCATTACCTCAAGCAAGTGAATTATTAGCTGATAGGCTGAGGCGGTGGGTGCGGCATGAAGTGCAAAAAGCTTGCTGGCAGACGATGCAGAGGCTGTCATTTTATGGGTCAGTAGAGGATATGAAAGATCTCCTTCCCGAGCCAAGGGCACCCACTGCACAGTGCTTAGGAGACTTTCTGGGCTGCATTAACCCCTAATGATGCCATTGTTCCCTACACACACCCTTTCTGATGCTTTTGATTAGAAGGTGTTCATACTGTTACAGAGTAAAAAAAGTGACTTCAGACCAATGGTATTCTATGAAGTCTTCTTCTTCCCCCATTAGTTATTTAACAGTCTGCCTTTTTGCCACAAACTGAATCCTGTGGATGGTATTGGTTTGTTCCTCACAGCAAAGCGTCTTTAGGCCCAAGATTGTGATGGATGTAAATACTGTCACTCTTCATTTGGTGGATTTATATAAAGACCAGTCCAAAAAAATTTAATGAAGGTGTTCATGTTTACTATATATTGGTGAGTGTAAGTATGAATAAGGTTAAAAGGTTTTATTTGGTATTTATTTTATGTCTCTAAGCAGACTGTACATACTCTTGCTTTCTAGATAGTCTGTAGATGTGTTCTGTTCTTGTTTGTGTAGGTCATCTTATCAGATGCTAGTGCTCCTGGAGAAGGGGAGCATAAAATTATGGACTACATCAGAAGGCAAAGAGGTATGTACTGACATGTTGATTTATTGATACTTTCCAAGATGTGCAATTTTCTCATGTTTATTTACTTTTTATTTTTTTATTTTTTATTTTTTTATTTTTTTCTGAAACAGCTCAGCCTCATCACGACCCAAACACTCATCACTGCTTATGCGGCGCTGATGGTAAGAGCAAGAGTGTGGCTTAAGTGTAGAATAATGTGTAGAAATTAATGTCATTCTGTTGTGCTAAAAAAATTTTTTTATTTTTTTAAATCTCTGTTCCTCCATTAAAACCTTATTTATGCCAGGGAATAGAGAAAAGCATAACTAAGCCAATTTTTGCTGCAAGAAGGTGGCTTCGTTGGGGACTAGTGGGAATCTGGCTGTGCGACCGGCTTTCTCTGTGTGTTGGGAGAAAGTGATCTGTCCCTACCCCTCAGCACTGTCACCCAGGAGGAGTATGGGGCAGACAGCACAATCCAGCAAGGGATGTACTCCACTGCCAGTCCGCAATGTGTTTCAGTTATAGGACACTTTTCAATGTCCTTCAGCCATACCACCTATTATAGTGCCAATATAGCCCCATGATGGCAGACCGGCAATAAGTGGAGGTTTTTGCCATGTGTTAATGTCTCTTGTAAATTGCAGTCTTTTTTGTTTTCTGGCTAATGTGCACGAGAGGGTGGGAGAAGAAATATGTGAGGTGAAAGGGCATGGTCCCAATGAATCTAAAGAACAAAACTAGAACAGGCGCCGTGATTACAGGATCACTGTATATGTTAAGACTTGACCTTCAATAAGTATATAATAAAAGATTATATATAGATAAACAGTAATTTACTGCTACGTATGTATGAAAACATTAGTATTGATACTTAACCTGAGATGTCTCATATAGACCCAAGTATTAGTAAAAAATGCATAGAAACAAGGATAACAAAAGACAAACACAAAGTGTATCTAAAAATGTGTATAAATATAGTCTAATCTTGAATATCAATCGATATTGGATCTAGAGATATCTTCTGTGTCAAGCAGGTAGAACTAACTGAGTAAGAGCTTCGCATACACTCCTATAGCAGGGGAGTGTGAACACATATCTTGTCCATAGATTATCAGAAGTGCAACAATATTGAGCCCGACGAGCAACAATGTTGCAGATAGGTAATCCGAAATCGTGAGAAAAAGGGAACCTTAGCCAAGTAGTGGTAACCACATATGTAATCATATCCCAGTTAGACTAATCAGATTATAACATACCACTATTGTGGAAATGCCCACACACCAGAAATCATATCGCTGTCCTGTGCCTTCTAGGGCACCTAGGCTAAAGAGATAAGCCGAAACTGCTAGTCTACCAAAGTGCAAAAATTGGTGTGTAAGCAGGAACGAATAAAATTGCGGCACTGCATTCGAGGGCAATTATTCGTTCTTGCTTACACTGCTGCTTCTCTTCCACTTTTTGCGTATCAAGCTTTTTATATCCATTCTTCATAAATGTCTGCCTGCAAATTGTGTCGCTCAAATTTGTATTGAGCTACTTTTTGATGCAAACTCGAATAAAAATATTTTCTCTCCTTTTTAGCTGATCTGATCATGCTTGGATTGGCTACACATGAACCTTTATTTACCATCATCCGAGAGGAATTTAAGCCAAACCAGCCAAGACCTTGTGCCCTGTGCAGTCAAGTTGGACACGAGCTCAAGGACTGTCAGGGGTTGCCTAGGGAGAAGAAAGGGGAGGTAAGTCGTACAGCAAATTGATAGTTCTGTTTCTGCAAGTAGACGGCACCTTTGCCGATTTAACCTCTGACATTCTGTTACCATGTTTTTTATGCATTTTTTCATATGTACCATGCCAGTAACAAAAAGAATCATGTGCCCACAAAATTCTGTGGTCCTGATAAATCTGGCTTACTGTGGTTATCCAGAAGTGCCCAACCTGCAGCAATTGTTGGTAAACCCATATAGTACTCAGAAAGCTTGTCTAGCAGAATTGTGATTATGTAGATTATCTTCCATTCATTTGGCTTTCGATGATTGGGAGCTTGGTTTAGACCAACAGGTCCGTAGTGTTTTATTTTCTCACAGTACAATATGTACCTTGGTTTTTTTTTTTTTATCCACATACAGAGAGCAAATGTATTGATTGACTGATAATTTAACGTCAAAATTTTTGCCATTTTGTCAGTTCTGGTGTCTAGACATGGTCTCTGTATAATAATGTGTGTATACTTCTGTTGTGTTTAGCACTCACTCTAATACATATAATCCATATAATGTTTTATATCCAACTATAAAATATCATGCCAAACATCATAACCACTACACTCCACTATAGCCGTTATGATGACCAGATTTGAGTGCCCTTACTGGTTCCCCAGTAATGAGGCAAACCATTTAATAGGTAGGTGACTGCATAGCTCTGAGGCACCCGGTTGCTGTGATGATGCGCTTCTGCAGAGTTGCAGAAGCCAATGCAGTTGGCTTTCATGGATTGAGAGCATCAGCTGACATACAGACTCCAGTCACCATGAACACTACAAACCAGTGAAGTAGTCCTGGTGCTTGGAGAAACCATTTAAGGAAATATGACTAGTAGATTGGAAATCAGGCCATTGAGTAAAAGGCCCCGTTTTAAAACAATATATTTTGTTTGCAGCATGATGAATTTGCGGATCAACCTCCAGGCTGTGAGCAAGAGTTCATTTTCATTCGTCTGAACGTGTTGCGTGAGGTATTTGTTCAGTGTATTAAAAAAAGTCTATAAAGGTTACACTAAATTTCACAGGCATTGGTTTCAATCTTCTGTTTTGTTTTTGTAGTATCTGGAGAAGGAGCTTGTAATGACCAGCTTACCCTTTCCATATGACTTTGAAAGAGCTTTGGATGATTGGGTCTTCATGTGTTTCTTTGTTGGCAATGACTTTTTGCCTCATCTACCATCTCTTGAAATCAGGTAAAACTCCATAAAGGGTAGAGGGCCAATGACATGTTGTTCGTTTTTTTTGTTTGTTTTTTGTATGACTCCTATCATTCTCACTTTCAATGAGCTGATTGCAGATCATATGAGTCCAGCTGTGACTGGAGCCTACGTGCCATCCACCGCTGTCTCCAAACCAAATTATTTTGTTGTATAATGAACATATAATAGACTTAGGCAAGTTTGTATTATAATTTGTCCTCTCTTTTGTCCCAGGGAGGGTGCTATAGATCGACTTGTCAACATTTACAAAAACGTTGTTAATAAAACTGGAGTAAGCAATCTTTCTAAGTTTTAGAAATTCATTTCTGCATTCTTTATTATATAGTGTTTAAAATCCTTATTTCTGACATTTATTTCTTTTTCTCCTCCCACAATGCTTCATTTGGCAGGGCTATCTCACAGAAAGTGGCTTTGTGAACCTTGAAAGAGTACAAATGATCATGCTGGCAGTCGGAGAAGTTGAAGATAGCATTTTCAGAAAAAGAAAAGAAGACGATGTAAGCCAATTTCTGATTTGCTACACTACAGCCTTCCCACGATACCTGTTTTTAGAACAAGCTTTTACACTTAGTGGTAAATCCTTTCAAGTGAAGAGCGATGGGTCAGGCACATTTCAGACTGAGCTCTTTTGTGCAGCAGGGACCTACCATTTCAGTTTTAAGATGATAATCAAAAAAGGGTCTTGTATCTTTCACTATCCCGAGCAAGGATGAAATCATAGCTTCTTACATTGCTATTTAGGTTACTGGTGAACTTGCTTTTAGAGAAGCATTATCCTCTAGTCTGTTAATACGGTCTTTTTTAAAAATGTAAAAAAAAATATATATATTTTTTTTTTTTATTCTTTAGGAACGATTTAAAAAAAGAAACAAGGAAAAAAGAAAAAGGATGAAGGTGAATTCACTGCCCTTTTAATGAAAATAATTATAAATCACGAAATATTGTTTGATTTTGAGTAAACTACATAAATGAAGCAATGTATAATGTTTGTGCCAACTATTCTGTAATGAAATGACAATCACTTTATTATTCCTTTTTCCTACTAGATTTTCTCCCCTCCCCACCCCACTTTTATTTGTTTAGTTTCTCCTTCAGCTTTCCTTGCTTACGTTGCTTTTTCCTTCAACCCCTGCACCATCATACTTTCTGACTTATGCTATAGAATGTCGGTCACCGTTCGTTTGGATCTAATAATTCTTGCCACTATCATGTACTCATGTGATTTTTTTTTTTTGATTTTTTTTTTGATTTTTTTTTTTCCTCCCTTTAAGCTTTTTTTCTTTCTACTGTATTGGTAAATCATTTTACTAGTATATCCTTAACCTTGATAGCCATTGCGTCCTGCAGAGATGCTCAGTTAGCACAATGTTCAAACCATGAATGTTATGGGAAGAGATGGCATGTGCATCATTACATGGGGGAGATTGCTAGGCATGATCGGGAGTGGTGGTCAAATTCTTAACTGCAAAGAAAGCAGTTTTCAGTTGTCCTTTAGTTTTTTTTAACCTTTTTCTTGAAAACCGTTATGCATCATTGGCTTGTTGGTAGTCTTCTTAATTCGATGTTCGTGACAGAATGTAAGGAGAAATGTGTGCCTTCCCTGTATTTTTCCATTGTTTTGCTAAGTTTTTTATTTTTTTTTTATTTTACATTTAGAAATACTTGTAAATGTGCTGTTTTTTGGTGTACACATTTTTTTTTTTCTTGTTAGATGGAACAGCAGCCTGCTTTTGTGCCAACTGGGCAGTTTGCACCACAGGCCCTGGGACGAGGAAATCGTTCTGCCCCTAATGCCATTAACAACCCAAGACAAGCTGCCTATGAAATGAGAATGCAGAATTCCGTATGTATTTTGTTATCCTGTCTGTAAAGTAATTTTTTTTTTTTTTTTATTTACTAAGCATTGCCTGACACTGGGGTGCAGGGGCATTAAATAGTGTGGCCTTTATTGATTTAATTTTATTATTTGAAGCAGAAGGGCTCAATTCTTGATTCATTTTGCAGAATTGTTTTGTCTGTTATGCAAGGTGTTAAGTAACACAGCTTGCGTAGCACCGTTTTCTTAAGTTTTTGTGACCATGCATATAATCTTCTCAATCAAGCTTTTCCATGGCAAAACAAATAATCATTTGCCCAGTACCATGTTCTCATTGTTTTGTTTTGTTTTTTAATACAATGTATCTGGTTGTCAGAAATTTGGTGAGAAGCAAGATGCCAACTCCTCTTCAGGAAGCAAAAGAAAAGCCGATGACAGTGATAGTGAGCCAGAGCCGGAAGATAACATCAGGTGATGACACTTTTTTCGTTTTAATATACTCTTTCCTAGCGCTTTGTTAGCAAATTGCTGAATTAGGTTGAGTCTAATGAATGCCATTTAGCTTATGGCGGCAATGCCTTTTGGATCATTTTCTGTGATCTTTTTATCCACCAGTAATTAATGTGAAGGGTTACAATATTCAGTAAATTCCAGTGAGATGAATAAGCTAAAGCTGCTAAACCCAAGTATCCAGATTAGTATGCATGCTGGCTTTCTTTCTTCAAGCCACGTTTCCCTCTGAGACTGTGCAATACATTGGCTAGACATATTCTGTGTTTTTCATTTGATTATGTGATCTGAATGCCAGTGTATCGCTGATGGATATTTAACCCTTAAACTTTAGCTGCTGTAAGTGTGTCATATTATCGGAGTTGAATGGGGCATCTGCTTAGCATTCGGATTACGTTGCTTTGATCTGTAGGCTGTAAAATCATACTTCACAAATATAATTGTGCAGGTGTCCCGTTAACACCTAATACATGGCTTAATTGGACATTTTAGTTAGTTTTGTAGGGAACATGCATAGTCATTTGCTTTTTCATAGGAACAAAAAGTAAAGCAAATACATGAATCTATTAACGCCATAGTGCTTTACAATTGCTAAATGCCATTGATGTATTTTGGTTTTTGCCTGATACTGGTAAATCTGCGTATGGATAGGAAAAACCAAAATACAAAGCTTTCGTCAAACTACAGATTGCAGAGTTAAATATAGGATTGGCAGAGTTGAAGATGATTATGATGATATTCAAAAACTGTAATCTGCCTTTGGTCCACTCTCTCAATTTGCCTGAACGATTTTAGTGTTCCATGGCCAAAAAGATGGTGTGTAAAAGATCCGCCTTACTTATTCCTTGTCTATGGGTTCCTTATTCCCTAATGGAAGCTCTCTCCAGTGTCATCTGCTGCTCCTATTGTGTGCTGTCATGGCACCTTATTCTTTCCAAATTTCAATCATGCCATGTTCTGTGCTTCACTTTTGAACTTAAAAGTATCTTTAAAATGTCAGCCTTTAAATGAAAAATTTAAAATAAATATATATTGTTGGACTCAAGCCTAAGAAGTTGTCACACTATCGGAGTCCAGTTTCCCGCAGTTGTTGTAGATATTGCAATCACCGATTTGGTGTGCTTTGAGCACTGCAACTTACTACCCTTTTTAAAAAAAATTCAAATTAAAGTAAATAATTATTGACTATTAACGAAAATAGACTCCAGATCCACATCTCTTTACATTTACAGCTGGTGTGAAGTCAGTCACACACTTCTAAGCCAATCCGCTATGACTATCTGAAAAGGTCATTCGTGTTGGTCATGCAACAGATGTTTATCTCATTGCTAATTTAAAGCTACTTCTGCTACCGTCTTCTGATCACAGGTGGAAGTAGACCGTTCATTGCATATTGCTGTGGAAGATCAAACTGCTGTTCTAAATACAGTTAATACAAAAGATAAATACGATTAGGTTACTGCAGTAAATATTCAACAAAATGAATACAAAGCTGCCTGCAAGGAATGGGAACAAATTGCCTTCTATAGTACAGAAACCAATGTGAAATCCTAAAGTAACAAATTATAGGTGCAAATTGGTAAATACACAAGCTCCACTTACATTTTAAAGGAGGCGATGTATAGAAAATTGTACAGACAAATGCCTTTTATTGATGTACAATGTCCCACATTGTACACTGGTGAAGGGGCAATGTGCCACAAACATTTTGTATTAACTATATATTCTATTAAAGTTTGGATTGCAATAGTGCATCTGGCCTATACCACTTTACCTTTATAGCCCATTTTTATGACTAAGTACTGTTTACATGCACATATCTGCTAAAATTCTGATAAATTACAATTTTATTTTTTCATGTTGAGATAATGTAAAAGCAGAGCACATTGGGAAGTAAAGTACTTCATCAATACTGGAACAGCAATTTGATTTGTACGTTATATTTAGCTTTATTTTGCCCACAATGTCCAGTACAAACCAGTGTTAATTTCATTGACTTACAAATTTCATCCGATTTAGTCGACTAAAATAATTCAGATGACTAAAACTAAATAGAAACTGATGGCTAAGACACGTCATGGGGGAGGGGGCTGGGGAAATGAGATGGGGGATTTGGGGGGAGGCATGAGATGCTGGGGGCCACAATGTGACATAGAGAGGCTGAAGGAGAAAGAGACACAAGGTGCTGGGGAGAAGAGACACATAGGGCTGTGGAGAGAAAGAGACTGGGGAGGGGGGACAAAGACACAGGCTGGGGAAAGCGTAAAAAAAGACAGAGGCTTTACCTTAACCCATTAGATTTTAGTTGTGTCAACTATACTCTACTTGAGATTTAGTTGACTAAAACAATTCAGGTGACTAAACTAAAATGGCTTTTTAGTCAAAAGACTGACTAAAACTAAATTGAAATTTGCTGTCAAAATTAACATTGGTACAAACCTAGTCCATAATAATGTTCTTTGGATTACATGGGGAATATACCACCTGAGAGTCTTAGATTCCCCTGAGTTAGCAAAGATTCAAACCTTCATAACAGGTTAATGACCTCCAAAGGGAAATATTTCCCCATTACCATCTAAGGCTGTTTAACAAAATATTCTTAATAAAGTGTGAAAGCATTACAAATCAGAGTATGTAAAATAAATAAATACATTTCTCTCTTAATGCCTGATGCATGACCTAATGAAATGGGCTTTAAATAATGAGAATCACGTTGTCATTTATTCTTGCAGGTTATGGGAAGATGGCTGGAAGCAGCGTTATTATAAGAATAAATTTGATGTTGATGCTTCAGATGAGAAGTTCCGCCGTAAAGTTGTACAGTCATATGTCGAAGGTCTTTGCTGGGTGCTGAGATATTATTACCAGGTACACAATATGCATTGCAAATATGTTCCTGCTGTTTGCCTCTAAACATCCCACTGTACCTTTGTCACATTTCTAGCCTCTTGTGTTTAACTTGTTGAAACGACTGTCATGTAATTAGTTTATAAACCCAGTTTTGTTAGCGCGGCATTAACTTCCTAGACTATACGCTTGAAGGAGCTATTTGCAACATGTGAGAGGAATGTAAAGCATAAGTGCGAAGAATTGAAATGACTTAATGAATAAGTGCTGGCAGGCTGTCAAAGGAACTGTCATCGCTTGCCCCACAATATTGTGATGTTACATGAAGTGTAATTGAAGTGATCTGTGTCTGTTGAAAATCTTTTGATAATTGAGATGACAGACCGACAAAAGATTAGTTGCGCATATTGGAGGATTGTACCAATGTAGACTAATAACTGTTTTTTTTTTCGTTTTTTCTAACTTGTGAAAATAGCTTCTTTTAATACATCTGGGGTGAGAAAAGCCAAAGTTTAACAGTTAAGCAACAAATGGTACAGTTTTATCAGCTGTGATTTAAATGTAATTTAGTCTTTGAATCCAGTTGATCTCTCCCCCGGATGTAATGTAATAAAATACATTAAAATAGACTAAAGAGATAATTTCTCTTTAATTTTCCTCTTTTGAAAAATTGGATGTTTCTGCAGAGACTGGAAAGTGGCTGAGTTTTCTTAGCTAAGCATGGTTTGCCCATTCTTCTTAAACCACGTACTTGTTACGCCAGGCATTAACACAACAATTATAAAAAAACATGAGCATATAACATTCAAACATTTTTCTGGCTTTTTTTAAAAGACACTGGCCTGCAGGTCTGTGTTTACCCTCAAGTGTACCACTTGACACTGCTGCAGTAGGGTGAGACCACACAAAACAGACCACACGTGCTACCAAGAAAGAGACCAAAAGATGGGCAGCCTTCAGCACCTACTTATCGGTGTCAGCCATACCCATCGAGGAGCTTTACATTTCTGTGATGGTGTAGAATATGTTGTACTTGTTTTAGTAGTTAGCTTTGCCAATAGGGTACATAAGATATTAATTGTGGAGTCCAAGTGCAACTGATGGTTTCTTTTAATGGATTTATTTAATGAGAAACATCTTACTTGTTTTCCACAACCCTCTTAAGTACATGACCCAGTATTTGTTTCAGGCAAATGTTTTTTCTGGTAATATAGTATTCAATACTGTTAGTATTAATATGGCAATGCTTCACTTTTCCTTTTTTATGTGGTTTGTGACCTGCATCTCATGTTTACCTTGTATACTCTGTGTATTTACAGGGCTGCGCTTCATGGAAGTGGTTCTTCCCATTCCATTATGCTCCTTTTGCGTCAGATTTTGAAGATATAACTGAACTCTTTACAGAGTTTGAAAAGGACACAAAACCAGTAAGTAAGCAGATGGTACTGTTGGAGGCATGGGAGAAAGTGACAGGTTTATCTTTGTTTGTAAATGGTGCACTCGATGGGCTACAGTCAAACTTCTTTGCCTTTATTTAATCTTCTGCCGTTTGTTTTTTTTGGGGGTGCTTGTTTTTTTTTTATTGAGGGAGGGAGGGGGAGTTTCTGTCCTATTGGCAATTCCATGTTAGACACTATCTTACTATTCACTTTGCAGGGTTTGGCTCAGGAGAGCTAACAAAGTTCCTGTTTAGGAAGTTCCAGCTCTTTGCTGATGGTAGTTGAAGCGACAGCAGCAACTTGCAGACCCAAAGTAAGGAGTCAAACCGTTCAAAAACTATTTGACTTCTTACAAAGTGAGGACACTCCTGGTGCCATATCCACTATATTGAGCTGTAGTGGTTATGGTGCTTGGAATGTTAATCTAAAAACGTTCCAACATTTAAAGTAAACTGACATTTTTATTGTGTATTAACTACATAACCCTAGGTAAGCCTTAGAAAGTCTCACAGGCAGCTCTGAGATAGAGATGATATAGATATATATATAGATTATATTCAAACTGAGCACTTTTTCCTACATGTAACCCATCTATAGGCTTAAACCACGCGAACTAAACCTTGTTCGTTTCATTTTTATCCCTGAAATATATCCTTTACATGGTTGCACGTGATTCTTCGAAGGTATAACCATATTCTTGACCTATCTCCTCCCTATTGTGCTTCCAGGTATGCAGTAAAATCTAGATGCTGCAAAACTAATTTTTTAATTTTTTTTTATTTTTTTTACGCTTTCTTTTTATTCTTAGTTTAAGCCACTTGAACAACTCATGGGCGTATTTCCAGCTGCTAGTGGTAACTTCTTGCCACCGACATGGAGGAAACTAATGAGTGACCCGGTAAAGCCATTATTTCTTACATTTTCATGTTCTGCTGTAATGTACAAGCTGCATGTCCTGAACAATAAATTGTATATACCGTTTTGTTTAGTTTTTTCTTTAATCTATATAACCGTGCAAGAAAGATTCTTTTTGTAGACAAAGGTAGTAAATAAGCCTGTGACCCCATTGTATACTTTCTGAAGGTTTTTTCCTGGAGAAAAAAAAAACTAATTTCGCAGAATCGCTGTTTTGTTTAAATATAAAACAGAATATTAAATCATAGTAGAAAATACACCTGTAGGGTTCTCCCTAGGAATTAATTTCTTACACACTATAGCTTCAAGGAAATGCTTTCAACTGTGTGACTGGTCCTGTTCTTTTAATTGAGAAAGCATTGGGCATGTGTAGCGCATGCTCATTGAATACATTAGAACAGCTAGTTGCCAGGACATTCGGCAGTCCTTGTAGGAGGCTACACTGTTATTCAGAAGTGTATGTTTTAATTAATGTAGATATGAAAAATCCAAACTAGAGTGTCTCTTTAAAAACAAACCTTAGGCAGCTGAAATTTAAAAGTTATTTGAAAGATTTCTCCAGTCTGAGCAATTAGTAATACTTTATTTTCCCCTCCCTCCAATATAGGACTCAAGTATAATTGACTTCTACCCTGATGATTTTGCCCTTGATTTAAATGGAAAGAAATATGCTTGGCAAGGTAATTGAATTGTGTATTTGGTGTTGTCATTGCAGTTCTTTACTCCTTGACTCCTTTAGCTGTGAAGGACAGGAAAGAGTGTTTCGAACAAATTTTTTTCCCATGTTGGAAACAGCTGGTGGTGATCAAACATTAATTCATGTCTCCATTGTACAAATATTGGTGGTATTGTCCACAATTGGAAAAGGACAATTTGTTATATGCAGATGTCTACCTAAAAACAAGTTAGCAGGCATGCATGTTAATCAAATTCCCATTACATTTCTGTTTTGTTTCTGAAAATTTAAAATTTTTAAAGTTTGTTGTATAAATATAGACCCTATTGTATCTTTACTGTGGCGATCCTTTCCTTGTTACAGTATCAAAATGTTAATTGGCTTCCCCTGCTGTGCAATTTGATGGTTACGTTCAGACATCGGTAATATCACATTTAAACCCCAAAAGCCAATTAATATTTTGTCTGAGCCTTCGGAAAGAAGGCCTGGTAAGGTGAAGTATTGTTTATCTTAACAATGACTTGAATTTTGAGCAGGTTTGGGGGGGAAATTCAGAATAAAACCTATAGCCTGATTTGGTATGAGTTTATTATGCTATGAATAGGAAAGTTGTTCAATGTATTTTTATAAAATGCTATTGTGTGAAGTTAACCTTATTTTGTGGTTGTATTTTTTGGATTCTTTTCCATATGCTTTGACTGTAATTGTGCAGTTTCTACTCTGTGCATTTAAATATAAAATTTAGACCTGCAGTAATCTTAGTTTTGTTGCTATATGTTAATATGCATCATATATGAAAAGAGCTTTCCTACAGTATGCAGAGTTATATGTTGTGACATTACTAATGGGATTTTAACGGAGTAATCACTTGTTTTTCTACCTACAACATTTGATTCTACATACTAAAATGCTTACTATTGCTGCCTTCAATAGGTATAAGTAATAAAAGTCCAGGAAAACATGGTGGATCTGGCATCTATGGCCGGGAGATGTTCAGAGTATTTAATTGAAGAAATTTGACTGCAGAGAATATCACGGTTCAGTTTGCCTTTGGGGAAATGTTTGAACCAATCATATGATAACAATCCAGCAAATATTCTACAAATGGGTAGTTCCTCTATACTGTGATAAGACAGAAAATATTACATAGACTTTAAGTAGCCCCTTCCACTCAAGGAACACCAGTCATTTTCCTGTCCTGCTTTGTAATCTCAAACAACCTCAATGAGCTCTGTTATTGTCACAGCTGAAGGGGGTGGGGGATTTAGTACATAACTGTGACTTGGGCAAGATGTTCCACGAGAAAGGGACATAATTAGAAAGGTTAAGGATTAAGAGAAGTGGACAAAAGCTAGAGAATTGTATTGGGGCATTGTTGGCAACTGGTGCCAGACAGACTGGATGCTCCTTTCTCAATGCGTTTTTATATGATCCCCATCCTTTCTGATATCCGTTCATGTTTGGTTGTATTGTTAAAATAATAGTACCCGGCACCACCAGTCAGTGCCTCTGAATAGTATCTTGCCCTCCAAATGAAATGATTAAGAAAGTACTGTTTTGAATGACTGCAAGCACTTAAAGAAAGCAAACACAGCCATGTATGTGAAGCAAGATGGGATGGCTGTGCTCAGGGGGACCATATGCCCTTTCTAACCAAAGAATTGTGTGGTAAATTTATATTGCACAACTTTGTTAAACTCAGGACTTATTACTCAATGCTGGGAGACTTTGACCCCAAAGTAGCCCTATTTTGCATGGATGAACATGGCCCTTAAATTTGGTGTGCTGGTTAGGAGAGCAGCAGCAACAAATGTGATTTTGTTTGCAAAAACAAGCTTTTAAACTTGAAATACTTAACGCTCATCGATGCCTCCTAGTAATTTAGGTAGTTAGGCCACTGTTATATTGCTGTTTGTCTTTATGACGGACCGCCTGCCAGTCCAATTGTGCCTCCGTCGAACTATGCTCCTAGTGCTCGCCAAGGACCATCAGAACCACACTCAACACCATAACCACCGCAAACCCCATGAACCGCCGCAGCTATGTTGGGGTTTCGCTGTCCTCCACCCACCCTGGAACCAGGACCGGGCTCCAGCTTCCAGTGGGTGAACCTCTCCTTATTCCAGAGAGCGAAACAGGAACAGCTCTATATTGTGATTATAGCAATCCCCAGAGTGTGGTTCTCCAATCCCCCAAACATGAGCCAAGACTTCATGAAGGGTAGAACATGTCTGTTTAATGCAAGCCAGCACTCACAATTTATACAATTCCTCAGGCGAGAGGCACACCCTCTGTACCTGATGGAACACAGGCACACAAAGGACACAAATTAATCAGAACAATACAATGTCAGACACTCCCACATACAGCACACAAGCCCTCCACTCTGCCTGTGATACAATTAACGAAGACAATGGAATAACTCAATTTACTCTTAGCAGAAAAAACATACATTTTTACAAACCCCAAAATACAACATATCCCCACAACATATCCAAAAATCACCCAGATCGGTTCAGGAATTTCCTGGATGTCTTATTTTTGCCCCACCGTGCACATGGTCCCATGCCTAAAACAGCTCCATACACTCGACGGCAAAACACTGCTGGACAATTTAAGATGGCCACCACCACATGTTTGAATCTGTTGCAGTTAAACGTCAAAGGGGCAGAGACAGTGCCTTTAAAATCCAATATGCCCAAATAGTGTTCTTAAAGGGCAATCTATCCCAGGGGCCATAGTTACCGGGCAACAGGCTGGCAAGCAGGCCTCTCGAAATCCCAGTGATGAAGGTGCTTTCGTCACAGTCTTAAACTGAAGATCAAGTGATCTTTCATTTCTTCAGGTTTAATATTTTCCAACTTTATTGTACCAAAAAAATAAAATAAAATAAACTGAGCCCTGCTTGAAGAACACTGTAAAACCTCTACATATTGTCCTGGCAAATGTAGCAAATTTACATTTTATTTGAACTATTTTTACAAGAAAATGTTTTACATGTCCAACAAATTAATATAAAGGATTAATAAATTAATGCAAATATCATCTTGAAATTTACCGAAGTTAATGTAATTTGAGAATTGTTGCCTCACAATCTTTCTTCATCTATGATCAAGCATGCATTTTATTTTTTTGTGATGGATAACGCCAATGAGAATTAGAAACTTCTAAATGAGCTTTGGAGAACATTCTTGCGTGAAGGTTTTGTGTTCATATGTTAATGATTTATATTGTGATGTGTAATGACAACCAAAAACTTACAAAATGAAGCCCTGTGCTCAAACTCCCACTAATCCTGGGCAGCTGCAATGACTATAGTACATATCAGCCCCAATACATACAATAAAAAACAAAGAAAAGTTACTTGCGCACTATCTCAATCTCTATGCACATTTAAATAACTAGATTTTTTTTATATCACTCCAATGGCCGTTCAAGTGTTAACTCACCTGCCATGTCAAGGCAAAATCCTACTTATAGCTTATTTAAAACTGTCAGTATGCAGAAATTTGGGCCTTATTTTTGTACACTGCCTAGAGCTCTTCAGTGACTTCATCTGTGTAACTGGAAACATTTCAAAAAAGTAACCAAACATTGGAACACTGTTCTGCTTTGCAATGCTGCATTATCAGACTGCTTACAGCTCCTTCTGTGTTTAATTGATTGATTCCTCTCCCCTCCAGGTGTTGCTCTGTTGCCATTTGTTGATGAGCGCCGTCTAAGAGCTGCTTTGGAAGAGGTTTACCCTGACCTCACTCCTGATGAAAGTAAAATTATGATATTCGTCTGTGTTGTCTGTGTAATCACTAAGGTTTTTAGCATTAGCGTACTTATCGTTCATGCTCTGCTGGGCTGCAAATGAACAAGATATAATGGATGGGCTGCTATTGATTGCCTTTAAACAAATCTGTAACCTTTTGCTCGATAGATGATTTAATTGCAGTAAATTGAATGATCCTTGATGCAAAAATGGAGCCTTGGAAACTACAAAGTAAAATAGAACAACCTTGCGTTAAAACTTGTTAATTAAAGTCTCATTTACGGCTTTCTTGTGTGACTTAAATATGATCTGTTTTCACAGGAAAGCCTTGTTAAGAGTATCTGTTAAAGCTATAACACCAAACAATTAGAAATGGTAGGAATTTTAGCCGTATAATTAAGTTCATAAATTGGTTTATGAAGGCAGAAAGCATACACCAGAATGAATTAGGATGGATTTGGATTAAACGTTAATGAACTTGATGGCAGCTAAGAAATTATTTTGTGCTAAGCATTTTTTGTTCTCTTATCGTCTTGGTAGAAAGAAGAAATAGCCTTGGAGGTGATCATTTATTTGTTGGGAAACATCACCCATTAAATGATTTCATTCATGAACTTTACAAGTCAAGCGCTAAAGAGGTATGTTGTCAATCGGTTCTTACAGGCTTTTATATGTCTATGTGAGATATTGCAGTAATGCAAATTTTGAACCAGGCATGACCCATTGATATAAGGGAACTGGCTGGTTTATGTGATTTTCAAAATAATTTTCTAATCCTACTTCTTTTTGTAGTCTCATAACGGAACACACTACTGATAGCCTATTTTTTTGCACGTTTTCTCTCAAGTTATGTGACTGCTGAGAGAGGGTAAATATTAAAGGGTGAATATTACACTCCCTTACTACAGAGGTATTCTGAAATCATTCACCTGACCTGCACCATGAAGCCCTAGGTGGACTCCTTGACCAAGGGATTGTCCATAATTCAGTTCTTTGCATCTTTCTCATGTTTCAAAGCATTCTAAGGCTAGAAAGATTAATCTGCTGAGCATCTTGGTCCATACAAACTCTTAGCACATGATTGCTGTTAGTTATATCATGCTCTGTATTAATGGATTGGTCCCCCACCTTGTAGTTTGCATGTTTTTTATTTTTTAGTATGTGTTTTGTTTAAGCAGAGAAAATATCTAGATATTTTATTTATTTTTTCATAATCCTCCTATGCAGTTGTAAATGTCACTCTTGATGTTGAAAGAGGGCAGTGGGTGGTGTGTTGATGTCCCTTTCTTCCTCATATATGGGTTCTCATGTTTGTATGTTTTGTTTTTTTTATACGTCTTAGCCAACGGAAATTCCTCCTGAGTTGTGCCATGGTATTCAGGGTCATCTTGAAACTGACGAAGGAGCAATTCTTCCACACGAGTAAGAATAATTTTATTTTATTTTTTGCAATGCTAATTTTAATGTGACTCTACATTTGGCATATGCTTTAAAATAACTGGCTTGTGTAATATCAATATGGTTTGTATTCGTCTCTAGTATTGAACAAAAAGTACTTAGTGATTAGTAAGTAGAGCTTACATTTTAGAAAGCGATGCAAAAGTATTGTCATGTCTGTGCTATAAAAATTTTGTCACGGCATGTCCTGCGTTATACAACTAGCACTTGTTGCATGTGAAATTTGTCCTGTAATATCTTACTATGAAATGATTGTGCTGTTCTGGTCTTCAGAGTAAAGGTTCTCATTGAAGTTAGTGTTAAACAGTTATTGTTTGCCCACCTCGCTTAGTAATGGAAAGAGCAATCCCAATGTGCTAGGTTGTATCATTTTTAGTCATTAACTTGCTTACTCTACCCCATTTTTACTTCTGCAATGTTCCTTCTACTAGGGTTGTGGAATCTCCAGTTCCAATGTTACGTGATCTTTCTGAGAATTTCTCTATAAGGTAAGTGCTCTATTATGTTAATTATTTAGCTAATTTTAGTGTTTAATATTTTCTAACTTTTGAATCAATTATAGAATCTTAACATTTTATTTGTGTTGATCCATGGAGTTAAAAAAACAAACAAACAAAAACCAAATTCCTTTTTGTGTTCAGCAATGTTTAAATACCGTAATCATATGAGTGTTGGGGCTGCCATGATCTCTAGGGATGTAGGAGTCCATTATGCATATCCATGAACCGTTCCCTGGCTCATGCAGTTTGAGTACTGTGACATGATTAAATGGGCAACGATAGAGAGACACACATGTGTACTTACACAAAGACTGAGTTTATGGGTTGCTAAGGAACAGCACAGCATTGGGTATAAAAATATAAAAATAAGATGTTAACCCATCTAGAATGCGAGTTGTAATCTCTTTAACCTTCTGTTGACTTTTTATTTATTTTTCATGTTTTCTCAATAGCATCAAGTTTAAAGACCCCCAGTTTGAAGATGATTATGTCTTCAAGGCAGTGGTTTTACCAGGTGCAAAGTAAGTGTATGCAAGAAACTCTTATCATAATGTGTTGTGCAGGTCAAATAAAGAGAATGAGGCAAAAAAACAGATTTTATTTTTTAACCTAGAAAGCCGGCGATAACGTTAAAACCCGGAGACTGGGAGAGGACAAATAACAATGGAAGACCATGGAGGCCACAGATTGGCTTTAACCAAAATAGAAAGCAAATGCATTTGGATCAGTCATCCTTCAGGACTTTGGGGTAAGTGACACACATCCTATATATACAGTGTGAACCTTTTTATAAAGGGAATATCACTTCTGTGGAATAAATCACTGAAAATCACCTATAGCTTGTGCTATCCTCTTTATTTCAGGTTTTGTTTTTTAAATTGAATATTTAACAAATTACACCACAATCCAGCTCAGTCAAGGCACAGCCATGGGCACACAAAGTAAATGAGCAGTAAAAATAGAAACAATGTTACATTGGTGTCGATTTCTACATTTAACTTTTCCAATCTCAGAAATGCATATTGTTAAATTAGGGTTAAGCAGACCTAATCTTAAATATTCTGGGAAGTGATGGCTAAAATGTAGCTTTTGTTTGTACTTTACTTCAAATACTTTGAAATCCTTTCAAATAGAGCAGAGGTTTTTAGTTGCACCCTAGATGTGCATGTGAATTAAAGGAACACTGTAGTGTCAGGAACAAAAACATGGATTCTTGACACTACTGGTTAAATGACTATTTAGATCTTGAGTCCCCTGTCTGTACTGTAAATTTTATTTTTAATTTTTTTTTTTTTTTTACAATTTGCATTTCTTCCGGCGCCACTCCGGTCTCACAGCAGCTGGTCCCGCCTCTGTTGCTGAGATCATCAAACACGAGGTCTGCCAATCCAATGCTTTCCCATAGGGTATAAGCTGCTGCGCATACATGGTAACACGCAGTGCTTGGCCAATCAGCATCTCCTCATAAAGCTGCATTAAATCAAGGCAACGTTATGCAGTGTGTTCAGCATGGAGACTCTGAACGCTAGCGCTGACCCAGGAAGCACCTCTAGAGGAAGTCTGAGTGACTGACTGCCTCTAGACTGTACTAGGCAGTAATTTTAAATACTGAATAGTAACAATGAACTTGTGCATTCTGAGGTATGCTTTTGATGTTTTAATAGTTCCATAATCTTAAAGGAACTATCTAAGCACCATAACTACTACAGAGTGTTGTAGCTGCTACGGTGCCACGATTCCTACCTAACGGTAAAATGTTAACGGTTTTGAATGGTTTGACTCCTACTAGAGTGCCTGCAGTTCAGTCACTCTTCCATTATAGGTAAAGTTGGATGTGGCTATTTCCTCATTTGATATAGAACGTTTATTACTTTTTGGAGAGATTTCTTTTGCTGAGAATGTCTTGGATCATTTAATTGCACATGAACATTTGCTGTAAATTTGCAACAATGGTGCATATATCAATTTAGAATTTTATTAGTTGGTAATGGTTAATCTAACACTATATGTATTTTTTTATCAGCCATGTCTTGCCACAAAGCAGAGGACCACGGGGAGGACATTATAGCAACATCCCTCCACCTGGTGCTTATAATCCTGTGAATGCCTACAGAATGCCTTCTAGACAGTCCCAGATGCAAAGTAAGTTGTTAGTCTGTGTTTGATATTGTTTCTGCAGTTTTGAGCAGGTTTCTCAGGTTGACATACATCGATTATTAAATACACAATTACAGGGACATTGATGGGTACCCAGACCACTTCCTTAATTCAGTGAATCCACACTGCTTACATTGCAGGTTTAAGACTGCCTCTAGTGACGATCTGCCAGACACTTTCTGTTTATCACAAAATTTGACTCCGTGAAACGACGCTGGAAGTCCTCATTAGTACGTCCAGCGTCTTGAAAAACAACATAGGATAGCATTGATGCTTCCCTTAAGGAAGGCCTAATTCGCACACGCTGCGCATTCACATTAGGTTCCGTCCATTGCCGAACTCAGAGGGAACTGAGCCAGTGACGTTGGACCTGTGTACTGTAAAGTTTTGGGGTTTGTATTTTTTTGCTTTTATCAATGGGGGGGGACAATAAACTTAGGGCAGATGGACACTAGTGTTAAGAATACAGTTTTGAGATGTTCCCATTGTTTAACATCACATGCAATAGTCCCCTATATTTTTAACGTCAGCCTTAAGAAACTTCATTTTCTTGCATTCTGCCATTTTGTTGGTAATGGCACATATCTGTAATATGGAAAACTACTGAGTGGGAATGTAGTCTGACTGAAGAGCAATGATTCTGCCTAGGCAAGGAATAGAACAGCATTTAAAAAAAACAAAAACAAAAAAAAACATTTCTTTAGCTGAAATAAAACAGTCCTTAAACCAGAGTTTGGTTTGTCATAAAAGTAAACGGTCTCTTGCTTTGTTTGTTACTGGCATGTGAAATGCAGCAAGTGGCAAACTGTTACAGCAGAGAAAGCGTTAAGAAGTGGTATTTGTCTGAGCCATAGTGTGCATTATGCATTGACCTCCTATGGAGTTGCAGTGCTTTGAGCTCTTCGGCTAGCATATTTCTGTATACAAAGCCATAATAATGGAAATTGCATTGCTCTGGCAGCTATCCAGAATGACAACTAGATTGGAGAATAGCTGAGCCTTGAAGGAAAGACACCTAAAAATGGATTTTGTATATTTGCCAGAGCACTGTCTAGTACACGCAGACAGTAACATTACTGTGGAGAAGGGCAGTGCGGTCAATCAAACGACCACCTCTTTCAAGTGCCTGTTGTGGGTGTTTCTTTCTGCTTTTCCTTGATTTGACATTGATGTACCAATTTTCCGCTGATGAATAATTGGCTATATGCTGATAACTTGAAGGAGTCAAGTACAGTCTGCCGGCACTCTCTGTGAATGGCATATTTGGTTTATGCAAACCAGAGTGTCTGATTTATGACTTTCTCATATTGCATTCTGTAAACTTGTCAGTTAGCTGAATCTGAAAGTGATTTTGATTAGTGCAATCAGTAAACACGAGGTCTTATCTTTGATTGCCTAGCTGATTAGATAAATAGTCACTTAAGTAGCTGTTGGAGCATTTAGTTTATAGTTTAATGCTTTTCCTGCCTATAAAATCTGAGTCTCTTCCCATCCCCAGTATGCACACTTTTATTTTTTTATTTTTTTTATATATTTCTTGAGTACCATTTAGTGTCATGCATATCTAAAGATCTAGCATGAGATTGAAATGCATAACTGTGTTTTGAGCTTTATTGCAGTATTGATTGTCTGCGTCAGTTTAGATGTACACGCGTGCATGATTATATAGGCTGACGTGTATGTATAGTAATTTGGATATTACATGTACTTTCATGACTTGAAACACAAAATTGAATACAGAGCAATTTGCCTCTTTTTGCAAGGTTAGACTAGTGAGAAAATGTGTTTTCATAGTGTGTACTTGCCATTTCTTAATGGGATTTTGAATCTTGCACATGTTTCTTTTGATGCTTATGTCTTTTCTATTCCTGTAAACAGCTGGCCAAAATTTCCAAATATTTATTATTTATAGTTTTTAAAACTCTTCATTTGTCTTGTTGCTGACACTTTTTCTCTACTATGGTGTGTTTAAATATATCACTTCGTAGATGTTTTCACAGTGAGTGACATTTAAAAAGCGTAGTAGATGGAGGTTTACTGATGTGCGGGGCTGAGTACCTTTTTTCAGTGCAGCACCAAAGCACACCTATCCCAGCCCACGATAAGTGGGAGTTGCACTCAAAGGCAGCTGATGCTACAATTAATTTGTTTGCTGCAATTTGTTATATGCCAGCAGAGGTTCTGGAGAAATAAGGACGTTGAATACTATATCCCAGGTTCCCTCCCTGAATATTACTAATGGGTTGAATGGAGGCTTCAATATTAGTCACCAGACATTTATGTCTCCGTACCACCCAAATATTAATGAAGCCCTGTTCAATTTTTAATGCCAATGCACTAAATAGGATCTAATCGTACCAAATAGTATCTGTGAAAGACTGTCTACCACTCTCCCAGAATGCCTTGTGAATTATGCAAAGAAGCAGATTTCAGATTTCCAGTCCTACACTAGCTAAGACATGAATTGTGCTTTGGCTGAAGTTGGTTCAGGCACTGTCCTTCCATGGATAAATAATGGATCTTGTTATATTGTACGTGGGACTTAATAAACTCTGTTTCTGATTTTCTTTCTTTGCATGTCTTTACATATTTTACTGAGGATTCTTTGTTTGTATTCTATGCATGCAATTGGAACACGTTCGAATAGGAATCTAAAGATGTGCAAAATATGTAGTTGGAGTGTTGTGTGCGAGGTATCTATTGATTGTAACCTTTCCTGCTGTGAGCTGACCAGTCTTGTTTAGAAGAAAAGCATCCATCTAATTGCTGCCTTTGTTATGGCTGCCCTCGCTAATGTAGCATTGTGGGAAACAAAGGAATGAGCAAGTGGGTGGTCCTTCAGTGCACACTTTCACTGCTCCACCATGATCTGCTCCTGAAACAGATATTCACATTTCCTCCTTTTTGCAACGTAAACCTTGTTTTCTGTCGCACATCAAGCTTGAAAAATGGTAGCATGTGCAAAGTCTGCTGCCTCACAGCAGGTTTCAATCGTATTTTATTCTTTTAATGTTTGAATCAAGATCCCCATAAAACCTCTGCTAAATTTGAACCTGGTCCTGTAACTTTTAATATTGTTAATGTTGTGCCTATATGCTAGACTAATACCAATATTTTATGTACATTGTTTGTTTTTAAAAGATTTTATAACTCCTGTAGATTCAAGGCCTCAAAATTCATGGGGAAGCCGCCCGCCTCTCTTTAACCATCCGCCACAAAGGTATGATCTTTAAGAATAGGATGTTTGATATTTTTGTTTTATTTTTCTTAACATCATTTTGTGTTTAAAATTGACACCCATTCTTGTGTGTGGGAATTGTTTGCATTTTTACTTTTTTTTTTGATTTTCTGTTCCTCGATCCCGCACACCTATTCTTTTACACTCCAGTGATTTGAAAATATCTCGCCATCTAAAAGGGTATTCAGAATATAGCTTAGGCGTAATAGTCCTACATTATGTACAATATATTGAACACGTATATGGTGCCAATATCAAACTGTTGCATTAAACAAAGCCATTCTATCTGTTTCTTTGTTTTACTTTCATAATGCATGTGTGCATTTTTCTTGTATGCTTAAGAGTTTTTAACAATGTCATTGCCAGAGGGAGTAAGTGATAAATTTATGAGCTATAAACCGTGTGCTCCTCTGTTACTCATAGGGTTAATGAGCCATAACTAATGGTCTTCCACTTTATCAGCTCCTTGCTAGGGCTGCCATGTTAGCACAGACCTGCCATTGATTCTTGCTACAAACCTCTTGAAGTCCTAATCAGCTTCTTTGGTACAACTTTTTCAAGCATGACAAGCCTATTGTAGCGCAGTGTCAGTGTAGGTCAGTAGTTATTAGTTGTCACTGAAAACAGTTTCTTTAACTACTTAAGACTGATCTGAATTAAAAGCAGAAGGGACTTGGGTGAAGATTATGGAATCTGCAGACCAATAAGTAGCAAGCAATAGAAAGAATGTGACTTGGTTTGATGATGAGATGTTGCACATATGGTCTCTGACAAAACACCGAAGTTTGTAATGTCGTCTTGCTGCAATAATCTCTGAATATTTTTTTTTTTTTTGCTTATTTCATTCTGTGCTCCGATATCGAAGAAATATAGCATGAAGTATCCAATACAAACATTTAAAAACAAAAAAAACAATAGTAAATATTCAATTACCACCTCTTTCCTATTGTGTTGGTAAAATACTTTAACCTGAAAGCTGAAATCTTTGATTTTGATCAACTACACTGGAAACATTTAGACCTGAAATCTAAATTGTATTGGATAAAAAAAGAAAATTCCTCTTTATATGTAAACTCATTTACTGAAAGGTCGCTTATTTTTATGGTGCAAATCATTTATGTTCCAGTCTACAGTTAAATTCAGCAACGTGTAAATATAAATTCTAGAGTGTCCATTATTTAACTGCCACTGTGTTCCTTACGGTCACATTTTTTTGAGTACTTATCTGTTTTCTGTAAAATACATAGTAAACACGTTGGAAAGCATCACACACCTGTATTTTTATGAAGCAGCATAAAGCATAGTCGTTTGTCCATGTTTCATACAATCTCTGAATTGGTTTGATACATTGAAGCAATTAAAACATTTGTTGCTGCTAGTAATATGGGGTACCAATTTAGGTCATAATAGATGTTGAATTTGTGTTCTCGTATAAACTGTATACCAAATGTCAGTCTATGCCAATTAGTGCTGATGTTGCTAGGTCACCACGGTCAATTGAAAACCACATCAATAGAACTTGAAAAGGTTTCTTCCAGATCAGACCTTCTGACATATTGCACAGAATAATGGATGGGAAAAAAGACAAGGGCCCCTACCCTAGATTCAAAATTCTTTGCTGTAAGAATTCATTTGCAATCTGCAATTAACTAGGAAGAAAGGCTAGTCTAAAGGGCCCGGACTTTCTGATAATAAAGCATTCTCCCAAGTTGCTTATGTTTACCATTTGGATAATGTATTTTGTCTTTGCAACCTTGTGTTTGCTTCTTTGCACTCTTATATTTTTTTGTTCAGTGGAAACTGAAACTTTTGGACTACAGACTTTATTTTAAAAAATTTTTTCCCTTCACTCTTCTGATACCATACATTTATTCAAAACAAATGCTGATAAACCATAATTTAATTTTTTTAATTTTTTTATTTATTTATTTAATTTAATATAGGCAATACAAGATTTGCATGAGATCATCTTATTTATCCTAATTCTTGTTCTTATGCTCTTACAGAAGTTATGGACAAATGCAGAACCCAAATCCTCCATTCCCGAATCCGCAAGTTGGACACGGAGGTCCGAGTAACTATTATCAGAGACACGGAGACAGGAATAGACAGGTAAATAACAAGCCAGATATTTTTTATTTATTTTTTGACTGTTTTTGCCTATGTAGCGGTCTGCTTAGTTTTTAATTTTGTTGTATTAAGTATCTTTATTAGTGTGTGAGAATCATTAGTCATTAACTGACCATATACAAATGTTATTACCGTGATGCAGTTAAATAGGAATTCCACGAGGGTGTTGGGTGAAATTTCTCCACCCACAAATGTAATCGTGTTGACTCACTAGAATGTCTTGTTTTACAAATCCCATATTCTTTCAGGCCAATGTTTGGAAGATACTTAAACGGTTTTGTTCAGCCATCCACTTTTTCTTATGATGGCATTGTTACATTTCAGCCTGAGTCAATAAAGTGATTTGTTTTGTGCACACTTAATCCAGTAAACAAACGCTTTTATTTTTTGTTTTTCAGGGGTACAACCAAGGAAGGAATTTTCCTTTACCACCGCAATCTGGAAGATACAATTGGAAATAAATGTTTTGTTTTTTATCGGAGACTTGGTTTTTCCGTTTTTTTTTTCTTTATTTTTTAAACAAAACAATTATGTGACATTTTTAAAATATAAGAACACTTTCTGTGTTTTTGTTTTTTAGAAAAGAAAAATCTGGTCCATGTAAAATGTGTGCTTTTTGTGATTGTACTGTGCTTTCTTAGTGCTTGGGTCTCATTGTAAAGTTGTATTTGTTCTTTATTTTATTTTTTTTAAACTGAAAATTGCATAAAGCTGTTGGCACTAGACACACATTCTCTTTAAAATGTACTCTGAATAGGAGATTTTGATTGGTTTAAATTGTGTTCTACAACTTCTTATGTAGAGGTTTTTTTTAACAGCAGATCAATACACACATACTTACATACTGTGCATATTTTTATATCTCAGTGATATGTGAAACTTTACTCTGGACTTATTTTTTAGAAATAAATTGTAAAGTCGCAAGGAAGCAAATCCTGCATATGTGATTTTAAAAGGCAAACAAATGTAAAAGGTTCCTGATTTTTGTTTTTTAATGTGATCATTATTAAAATGTCTCTAGTTTAGTAATCCTATCTTTCTGGTTTTGTGTTTTTTTTTTATATATATATTTATAGTTTCTCAATTTGCTTTTCACATTTCATCCTCCACAACCTTTTAATATGCGCTTTCTCAATAAGTGTTTGTTTTTAATTTTAGATCTCATTGTTGGGGGTAAAACTTTGCTATTGCCCACTTGACAAGTCTTTTCAAAATTGTCCATTCGAGGAAGACATTTTTTCTATCCATCAGAAATCATTGCTTCTAGAGTAATTATCCATTTCACAAGGTTAAATACATATCAAACATTCATAAATCGAAGAATATTATAGTATATCATCCCTTAGCATTTATGCTTAAGTATGCGATATTAACATCCAATGCTTCTACTGTACAACACAAACTCCTGACATTAAACTTTTTTTCATTTACTCGAAGGCTTCTGGGAAACTGCAGTGCTATGTTCCGTTTTTATATCTTCACATGGAAAAATTCTGCTCTGTCCACAAAGTGTAGTTATTAGTTTCCATTTATTTATTATAATTGCCATTTATATAGCGCCAACAGATTCTGCAGCGCTTTACAATATGAGTGGGGGGATTTAACTATTAATAGGACAATTACGAGAACTTACAGGAACGATAGGATTTAGAGGACCCTGCTTAATACAGTCTATAGGAGTTGTTTGTTTTTTTAATGTCAGATTTTCTGAATTGCAACGCAATTTATTTTTTTTAAGTGATATGCTTACAATATCTCCCTTCAGGATAAATATAAGCAAAAACTTTTCAAAATATAGTGGAGGGAGGATGACTAGGTAATTAATACAGGTTTAGATCAAAGCTGCTAAAAGATTATCAATCACAATCTTGGCCTTGCCAAGAACTCTTATTTTATTTAAGCACCAAGTGTTTTCACTACTTTCTACAACCGGACTAACAAAGCATGAAACATACTAATCTGGGGGGAGGGACACACACATGTAGTTCATAAAAGTTCACATAATTTGTCAGACTGGAAATGAATATCGCAGTACCAGAGTTTGTTAAAGTCTTGTTCTTTACTGTATTTCTTTTATTTGTTATAACCAGATTTTATTAGATAGGTCTGACTTTGTGATGCTGTATTTGTTTTACCACTAGTGAACAAAGAACCCTAGTGCAAAGTTTCGGACCTAAAATTCAAGAAACATCAGGTTGGCTTATGTTCGGATTTATCAAATACAACACGAGGATTTATTCCCTAAATTAAAATGGCAAAAATAATGGATTTGGAAAAGTCATACAACTACTCTGTAGTCACAGGTTGAAATCTAAATGCAAGAATGTAGGCAAAGGCAGCCAATTCGCTACAATTCAGACATTGGTGGATAAAATCAGGGGGTTTACTCACTAAACTTTATATTCTAGCGAATTAAAATTTAAATGGCAAAAATAAATTTAAAGAAGAAGAAAAATCTCTAGGCTCTTCTACATTCACAGGTTGCCAATTTTAGCATAAATGTTGCAAATTGTATTTCAATCTCTGCAATTCAAAGTTCAGTGAATCCAGTTGGTGAGTATTGGTCAGTTGCTTTATGCTTCAACTTCCTGGGTTTTTAATAACAGGTTAGGAGTAGACTGATGTGGTGGGGATTTATACCATTCTATAGTCGTAGTATGTGATAACCGTTATTTTGAGAATACAACGGAAGAGTGTTGTTACTCTGTATCCAAAGTTGTTTAGATTCACCGCTGGTTACTGTAATGTTACATGATTCTAAATATGAGCATATATATTTATACAATATTAGTGATGTCAAATCACACGAAGTGGCTTATTTATTAGTGAATTGAAAACTAGATTGCCAAAATCAGATTAATAAAAAAATAAAAAATCTTAGCTCAAGATCTTCAATTGGACTAGTTTGGCCTTAAATCTGCATGTACAATGTTTCTTCTCTCTATTAAATTAAAGATAAACGTTTAACTCGTCTGATTAATATGGATCTCAGTTTTCAAACTAATAAACAGACTTTATAAATCTTATCATTTCGTTGTCGTAAAACTGACTTTTTTTTTACTGCTTAACCACCTAAAGTGAAATTCACAAAAACAGAACGTAATAACTGTCAAAAATATAAACTTTTAAATAAACATGCATCAAAAAAACCCATTTTATTTGTCACGACCACATTCTTCACACATAAGCCCTGAATATGTGACCACTGTATCAATCTGTGTATTTATAGAGGAGCTAAGATTACTCTCTGCTTCTAGTCTTTGGAAAACATTGAAAGAGGCAGTACCTGTCTCTATTCCCTTTGTGTCTTTAGCACATTTTGCCTGGATTCACAAGTAAACAAGTAACAATGTGGTCTCCTAGTTGTCTGGACATTGTAATATCTGCAGATTTATTTGGGGCCTCTGAAATGCTGCAGAATTTTAAGGGTCCCTTTGTCTTGCTTTGGCCAAGCACTTTTTTGACTGGCTTGTTCTGTATGGGGACACTTATCCCCCCACTTGAGTTAATGAGTTTCACCTACCCAGCACATTCGTATGCTTATGGCAGATTTGGACTAGAGGGCTTAAAGAAATGTTTCTTCTCAAAAGCAACAAAGATCCCTTATTCAATGCAACCTATACAAATCTGTGTCCAGTCAGACTTGGCCTGCATCAGTTATTGGTATATAGATTAACCCATTCTTTGCCAGAAGGCACTGCTGGGAGAAACGTTTTAATGTTGTAAAATTGGAACCTTAGAACTTGTATCATACTTTCATTTTCCTTGTACATGGATTGCAGTAATCGTATAAAAGTCACAATTATGGGTCAAGAAACGAATTATTTGTGATCACTTTATTTTATTTGCCTTGTTACAATGTGGAGGGAAAAAAAAAAAAAGTTAGGAAGCATAAATATCATAAAACCAAATATCTAAGGTAATGGCAAAATCTAGCTAAAGTGGATTTAAAATTTGAATCTATATTTCTGTAATATTGAATTTGATCTTTAATTTAGCGGCTCAGACAGTAAAATAATCTTAGAAATTGATGCCAATTAAAAAAAAAAATAATATTAAATTATTGGCTAACAAACACTTTGCATTTCACAAATTATCCACGTTTTTGTTTTTGTTTGTGTGTGTGATTGTATTATTTTTTCACCTAGGGATAGTCTCTTTTTTTTGTAAATCGCAATAGTTTTAGAAAAATTATACACAATATACAATGCAGGTTTAAATAGATTAACACGATAAAAAATAAGTTATTTAACTTAGATCAATCCTAAAAATATTCAATATCAAAACATCCTAAGAGTGTATACAAAGTGGTAGACATGATGGGAATTTATGCTAATCATTGTAATGAAATTAGTGTATATAGATCATAGAATATTAAACTGAGTGCATGTTATTAACAGAAAATGGGAGTGCAGAGTTTATGCTTCAGATTAAAAAAAAAAGTATTTAAATCAGAAAAAATATTATAAAGGGAAAAATTATAATGGACTGATGGATGACTAACTTTACATGCAACATCCGATTCTTTTGTATATTTTAAGGATAAAAAAAACATGTTGAGGTTCAATGCCTTGTATAAAACGACTCCACTGAATGAGGAGCAAATTTAACGCTAGATTTTTATGAAACTTAAAACATTTGTACTCATTGTAAATCACACTGTGTATAATTGTGATCTAGACAGGTGCTAAGATATTGTGAGAACAAGGACCTCAATATAAGGTATACAATCCAAAATATGTTCAACCCTATAGACCAGATCTGCAGGAATTATGGTAATTCCAATTTCAAGATAATTTAAACAACAGAATCGGCAATTATATAGTTATATATATATTTACTTTTTTTTTTCTACAGTATTATTTCATACACATTATAAAGGACTAAGCACCTTCCCTAAACAAAACAAAACAAACTGAAAACTGGACTTCTATAAAATACTGCAAACAGCAGACAAATTTCTAAGAAAAACCAAAACCAAAAAAATGGGCAAATTGTCAATTCGTCAGCACAAGAGTAACAACAGATTCTAAAAACAGTTTATATTGATCAGACAGTCTGTGAAACTGAACGAAGTCAGTTAGCATTAAGTTCAAGTTTTTTGCTTGTTAAATATTTATACATCACAAAAAATATAGAAAGTTGATTTTGTTTTTCTTCAAACCAGGTACCACGTTTTTTTTTCTGATACAAATTAGTTTTTGTTTGTTTTTTTTTGTCTTCTTTTGAAAAAAAGTTGCAATCTCTGCAGGTGCCAGTGGGTGGGTAATCTGAATTGTCCATCAGTTCTAAAATAAGAATTTGTTACCTTTACCCTACTGTCATTACATCGCAGTCCAAGCAAGTTTAGTGTAGAGAAAATCCTATGTGTTCTTTGCTTTTGGCCTATGCATGAACCAACAGGCGTTTTTATTCCCCCATTACCACGTTCGGCCATAGAGCATGGTGGCATTGACCATTCCATTACTATAATCTACACTCGAGTTGTCCATTTGGCCCATGTTGGCTACCTGATTGTGGAGTGACTGGGGACTTGGTGACATCTCTTCTAGATCTGGAGCTTGGCTCAGAGAGTTAACTTGTTGGTTTTGGTGCTGATGGACAGCGTTAGAAGAAGACAATACACCATTGGAGGTGTTCTGTTGTTGGGGTACTTGTTGGCTAGGTGTAGATGAGTTGGAACTGTTTTGGCAAGGTTTTCCATCTTTAACCAGCACTGGCACAGCTACTCTGCGAGGAGATTGCTGCTGGCACAAGTTACTTTCTTGCTGAAGCTGTTGGGTCACCTTGTCCTTGGCTTGCCTTTTCATTTTGTACCTGTGGTTCTGAAACCAGATCTTCACTTGTGTTGGAGTGAGGTGGATCATGCTGGCTAGGTGCTCCCTCTCAGGAGCAGAGAGATACTTCTGTTGTTTGAACCTCCTCTCCAGTTCATATACTTGAGCTTGGGAAAAAAGGACTCTTCTCTTTCTTCTGGGGGCTGCGTGAAGTGGGGCCATGGACTTTGCAGCTTCTGCTATGCCTTGCAGAGTCCCCATGCCGGCCATGTTCATACCAGTGGATGGTCCCATAAATCTAGAAACTGTAATATAGGCAATTAGCTTGCTGTTGACATGTCAAGTCCTTTTATCCAACATTTCAATTAACCTAACTTGAGGGCTACTTCCATAAACAATCTCTACTCCAACGTTCCAAACATGCAGGTGGGTGGTTCTAACATTAGCCAAGTGTCTTTTTAGAACGTTGACACACACACAGAGCAAGTCATGAAACAAAACAGCACTTTATATCACAGTACAATAAGAATAAAATACTTACTTGTTGAATATCTTGGGTCTGGGTTAGCTCCATACCAGCCTGTAGCAGCATTAGTCCTCATGGTTTCTTGGTAAGAAGGAATGTCCCCCATGTTGCCAATGCCACCATTGCAGTAACCTCCTACTGCCCCATGTGAAAATTGGGAGACACTGTGGGGCATGTGGTAGGTGGTGGTGACTGTGGCATTGTGTCCCATGGAGTGTTGTTGCATACCTGTCTGGGAGACATGGCTCTGTCTGTAGGCTCCCAGAGGGTTGCTGAGGTTTCCAGTGCTCTCCATACCTCCAAATTTCTTATAAGTCTCTTCAATGGGACTCAGGATATCAGTAACTGAAAAAGGTGTAGTATGCTTTGGGCTCAACGACATGATTCAGCGCCCAGGCAGGTAAAAAATCTGATGAGCTGATCAGTGTGCTGTAGTGTCAGTTCTTTCTCCTTGTGGGTGACTACGTAAGAGAGTGCTTGGAGGACGCCTGAGATCCGATTGATCGCCTTGGAGAAGTAGGCGAGCCCTAAAATTATCTTATCTCGGGTTTATTTTAGCCTGTAGCCAGGTTTACAACAGGCATGGAGGTAGGAGGGGAAGGGAGAAGTAGGCGTGGTGACATCCAGCATCCAAACAATGGTCATTCACACATTGGGAAAATAACTGAGGAAGGATGCAGTGAGGAGCCAAAAGACAACCTATAACACGACCAGAACATCAGGTCCTGGGGACATCTTTATTCTCCAACACACTCAGGTTGGTAAATAATTTTAGCCCCAGGATAAATCATCCTTACTAAACCCAACACCTATAGAAATTGGTAGAAAAGGTTGGTCTACTAGAGGTCCACAGGTGATCCACCTGCCAAGAGAACAAAAGAAACTTACTAGGAACTGAGATTCAGGATTCAGAGACCATCACTGACCTGTTTATTATTATTTCAGAACTATCCAAAGTAAAGCTTCATTCGTACTGAGAGGAGCAGAGATCAATGACTCCTCTTCCAGCTGCTAATGGCCAAGATCACAGAGAGAGCAAATCAAAACAACCTTGGATCCTCACATTGTAAGTACATTGCAAGTTCTCTGATACATTTTAGCTGTTTCCAATCATTTAAAGTACAAAATATTTCCCTTTTTCCGTCTGCTAATGTTTATGTCACAGAGCAAGACATGTTTCAGAACTATTTATATTCTCAGAATGAATCAAATGGCACATCACACCCCTCTGCATTATTATACCCAGACTTACAAACTCAGATAAAACTTTAATCTGTTAAAGTGCATGTCCTAATGCTTACATGTATTTTATTTATTTTATTTAAATTATAATTATATAGTATGATATATTGTAGTGTCATGATTTTGCAGTTTAAAAATATGAATGCAACACATTATTTAAATTTAATCAAACAAGTCATCATTTATGATATGGAAAAATAAAACTGAATACATTCTACAATATATTTATTTTTTTTACTTTTATTTAATTTATTTATTTGGAAGATTTGAGACCTGTGTTATTTTTTTTTTATAAATCAATCCTCCCAAGAAACAGGTCTTTTTAGCCATAATTTATATTAATTGACAAATAGTTTACCCCCAGTTTTCTAATAAATTGGACACATTCCACAGATCTAAAAAAATACATAAGTGGGAGATCTTCACTTTATTTGTCGTCTGGATAAATTATATGTAAAAAAAAAAAAAAAAGCTCAGGTTAATGTGCCTCGTAAACAGAAACGGTTTAAGATCTTGGGATCAGATATTTCTGCCAATTAAAATGCCAACCCCTGTCTCTGTATTTTCATGGAAATCGTTTTGTAGTTATTTCCTTGCAAACTCTATAAAATCCACAAATATAATGCTTATATACTCAATGCACACAGTGACTGTTTAGACAGTGACAGATAGCCTTTATCTGCAAATCTCTCCAATAAATTATTCAAAACGCTAAGTTATTGCACAACTCATCTGACACTTCATGCTTTTTATTTCTATTCTAACAGCATTGTAGAGTTTTACTTTAAAACCGAATCCATTTTGCTATAATAAAAAAAAAAAAGACCCAATAAATTCTAAATTCAGAAACCAAACTGCAACAGGTGCTTTGGTAATTGTTGCTGTTTATTCGTGTTACTTTCTAACCCTTTGCAATCTTCTAGTTATTAATATATCTACTGTTATTTATTATTATACTTTGTAGCATTTTCATTTTTTTTTTTACCAATATATTTTATTTTTTTATGTTACAATGCATTATTTTGCGTCCTAGCTGTTTAAATCTACTGTTTTTATTGCATTGCTATCTAAAGATAATGTTGTATGTTGTTGCTACTTTGTAACATTTTCCTTGTCTTGCAGTTCAGACATATTACTGTTTATTTATCCCTGAAGGTACCGGTTTATGAAGACTGACTACACATTATTCCCCTCTCACCGTGATTATAAAAAAAAATACAAGCATCCTATGGAAGGTAACACACACAGCAATCAAATCGGCTCTAGTTACATGTTATTTTATATATTACACAAAGTGTGGGCTTCTAGGGTGCAATAAAGTTTTACATAACAATATTATTTGATTACATCTCTCTACTCCTTGCGAGTGACATGATATATGTATAGTTCGTTCTGTATATAAATAAATTAATTAAAATACTCTCATCTTTTTTTCCCCTGTGGATTTTTATTTAAATCGTTTCTAAAACCAGTTATCATTTTAGATAAATGGCAATATAATTTCTGTATAATGCAATCTATTAGCCAATAAAGGGAAGAAGGTATTTTAGAGGGCAAATCAGGTGATGTACACTATTATATTTTACAATCTGTATATTTTATAGACCATGATTATACAATGAAGGATGAGTTAACCCTGTATTACCCTGCAATATTCAGTGTGTTTGGGTGGCTAAACCTGTGAATGTATCTGTATGGAGGGGATGTAGGAGCTGTTCTTTACTGATTGAGTTATTCTCTATACTGGGATTCTGGGGGAGAACTCACAAAGTATATTGTAAATATCACACTGAAAAATACTAATACTTTGCCCTCCTCATATTTGCTGGAATGGCTATAAAGAGGTGAGTGACTGGGAAGGTATGTCATTGTATAGACTGGCAGCTCTGTAAGAGGGTGAGAGAGTGCTTCAGTAGAACTGAGAGCTACTCAACCGAGTGTTAGTAAGAGAACTCATTGAGAATTTAACCCCTTACCTACCTGAGTGTACTGGAAACCTGTACACTTATATTTATATAACATTTTATTTATTATTATTTTTTGCTAAATACAATTCTAATTTAAATGCTAAAACCGTTGTCGCAAGATTTTCTTTTCTGTATTTACTTTTTCTGTGCATTTGTAACTACGTTTCTGATTTTCTATAACATTATCAGGTAAATAAATTACAGTTTAATTGACAGATTTCTACCTCTATAATGGGGGTTAATAATGTCTGTGGTTTGAGCCAAGTGTAGTGTTTAGCTGAGGAACCCCAACACTGCTCTGTCTGAGCCAGCAATAGTTTCATCGTCCTTCTGCTTTGCAACAGGTGAATTGAACAGTAATAACAGACCACGATATACATACAGAGTTGCATTCACTAAACTGTAAATTATGGTGAATTTAAAATAAAAATAAACAGATAAAACAATATAAATTGTAGGCTAAAGTATCCAAGATTAGATTATAGTCGAGTAGGAGCATTTTTCAGAATCATATGTTGTGGCCTAGGTTTGGAGATTCGGTCAAAAACAGTCACACGCACACTCACTAATTCTCTCCTTAAATTAATAAAGAAAAAAAGAAAATTTGTACTCTTATACAATGTAACTACTTAAATATTCTTATTTATTGTCCTCATGACATTTGGTGCAATATATTCCTATGTTTTCAATTTGTCATCCCCAAATACCATATAAACCTACAGAAAAGGGTTAGACAACCTTCTGCACTTCAGATGTTGTAGACCACATCTCCCATAATGCAGCCATAATTCTGGCAAAGCATCATGGGAGAGGTAGTGCAAAAGGTTGCCTATCTCTGCCATTGACAGACATATATATCCATTCATTTACAGAGATATGGTGTTCTAATATAATGATGCGGAGTGCTTTCTTGTCGCTGTCATGCTTCTTAATGTCTCTGCTTTCTGACTCAGGTAGTTAGCTTGTATCCATATGCCTGTCTGTTCTCACACTGTTTAGTTATACACCCTCTCTTTACTGATCTGAGCTATCCTACTGACCTGTTTAGTTGGTCCTGGACCACAGGTCCCACACACTGTCTGCGATATCCTTGTCCTATCTGATGAATGAGCTGAAGCTCTGTGTAAAGGCAGTCAAGGTGTGTGTCACATTAAACTTGTAGGATTTCTTTGTCTGGAATGAAATGTCCATAATGCACATGCAGTACTTCATTGCTTGAGCTCCCATTCAGAACAAAGAGGATCATATCATGGATTCTATGACATGAGACAAGTTTAAGTTATCTGAAGAGCAATCAACCTACTGAGGGCTTTGGAAAAATGCCATGAAACCACCAGTGGTGAACACTACACAACCACTATATATAGTGTAACTTACATATTATTATATCATATATCTTATTATGTATATTGTGTAACTTACATTGTAATATATTATATATCTTATTATGTATATGTAGTGTAACTTACATTTTATCATATTATATATCTTATTATGTATATAGTGTAACTTACATTGTATTATATTATATATGTTATTATGTATATATAGTGTAACTTACATATTATTATATTATATATCTTATTATGTATATAGTGTAACTTACATTGTAATTTATTATATATCTTATTATGTATATATAGTGTAACTTACATTTTATTATATTATATATCTTATTATGTATATAGTGTAACTTACATTTTATTATATTATATATCTTATTGTGTATATATAATGTAACTTACATATTATTATATTATATATCTTATTATGTATATAGTGTAACTTACATTGTAATATATTATATATCTTATTATGTATATATAGTGTAACTTACATTTTATTATATTATATATCTTATTATGTATATAGTGTAACTTACATTTTATTATATTATATATCTTATTGTGTATATATAATGTAACTTACATATTATTATATTATATATCTTATTATGTATATAGTGTAACTTACATTGTAATATATTATATATCTTATTATGTATATATAGTGTAACTTACATTTTATTATATTATATATCTTATTATGTATATATAATGTAACTTACATATTATTATATTATATATCTTATTATGTATATAGTGTAACTTACATTGTAATATATTATATATCTTATTATGTATATTAGTGTAACTTACATTTTGTATATTATATATCTTATTATGTATATATAGTGTAACTTACATTGTATTATATTATATATCTTATTATGTATATATAATGTAACTTACATATTATTATATTATATATCTTATTATGTATATATAGTGTAACTTACATTGTATTATATTATATATCTTATTATGTATATATAATGTAACTTACATATTATTATATTATATATCTTATTATGTATATATAGTGTAACTTACATTGTATTATATTATATATCTTATTATGTATATATAATGTAACTTACATATTATTATATTATATATCTTATTATGTATATAGTGTAACTTACATTTTATTACATTATATATCTTATTATGTATATATAGTGTAATTTACATTTTATTACATTATATATGATATATTAAGATAGAGAGAAGAGAGAGATATTGATAGTGTAAGGGTGGCTGTAGTGTATTTGTACCTATAAATAATAATTGCAGTATAAATGTATTTAGAATATGATGTATATCTTTAGTATATGTTGTTTATATTGCTTTGGATGTCATTATATTTCTCATATCATTACTTTATAACACAATCTATCCCCAGCCCCCCCCCCCCTTCTTTAACCCCCCTTTTTTTTCTAAGAACTTGGAAGATGTTTACTGACACTGTGAAGAGGGCACCTGTAAATGGAAAGGTTTTTAGTTTAACGTGTCCTTTGGTGGGGTAGAAGAATCCTTGATACCAATTATAAACAGCAATGTTCACATAATGACTTACAGGAACAACTATTTGTCGTGACGAAAATGTTTAGCATCATTTAACCCTTTATTGACACGTCAGCCACGTGACGATAGCAAGGCATTTGCCTACCCTTTGGTCATTTGGCTGTTAAACACGAACTTTAGAGGGTAACCCACATCTTGTAACTTGTGCATATAATGTCTGAGTTCCAGGATGGATAAAAGAGGTCTATTTACTAAACAGTGAAATGAAGGGAATTAACAACCGTAAACATTTTGTTTTGTCCCCCAGAATAGCTGTTTTTGCCTCAGTTTTGCAGTGTTAATACTGATTTTAAACTTGCCTATTATGGTCCAAATTATACCAGTTTTTCTGAAAATTTGACTGTTTTTGGAATTTTCTTGCACAGATAAACAGATTGCCTCTAGGAGTCCAGAAGTACTTCTATCACTTTCAAATAATTGCATCTGATCATTAGATAGATCACACTTAATAAATACAGTATATGTCATTTAGTGGTTGATTATATTTAGCGTCAATCTATTGTATAATAAAGTCTCCTTAAATGTATAAAGTAATATATATAGCCAAGTCTATGGCTAACATATGTACAGACATGTTTTATATGATTTAAATTAGCTGTTTTATAATTTCTCAATATTTGTTTAAAACAGTGACCTACATTTTAGGTGATCTGATGAGATATGCAGAATACAGAATAGTATATATGATATCAATAAAAAATTCTTCATCTGAAGTATAATAGTTTTAATGTGTGATGCTTCATAACGGATTATGATAACACTCAGAAAATTTTCTATTAACTGTTTTTTGTTTTATATTATTGCTTCAACATTTATATGTCCTATTCTTATTTAAAATGATGAATTTACTGCATTTTAGAACTACATTCATGTTCAGTGCTTATTATATCCCATATTGAGCTATCAAAAATAATATGGGCATCATAATTAGGGTAATCAAAACAAAAGCAAACACTGCAATTAAATTTGTTCCTTTAGATATAAGAATAGCAGAACAGTCTAATTACTAAAGAGATTAGCTATATCCTAAAGCGGTCACTGGGTAACCATGGAAACGCTAAACAGTACATTTTTATTTAAAAAATACAGTGATTGGTTTTGTCAAAAGACTCAGACAAGCTTATTTTAACAAATGAAGATAAATTAACTAATAGACACAATACACTATTCCCTTATTTAAAATGTTTCACCAAGAATATATTGGGATAGCTCTTATTCCCAATATATCCTGAATTAATACCTACAGTTATTTGTATTGTTACAAACAAGAGAATATGTAGCTATTAAGTGAAGTCAAATGGAATAGAGAGGTTTCTGCATCCAAGAGATATACAGCTGTTCAGAGACAACTTGTAGATTCCAAAGTCCTTAACCCCTTAGGTACCAAGGTTATTTTGAGGGTGTTGGTGACCCAGGTCTTTTTGGTACATTTGCCATATGTTAATTCAGCCACTATTTTACCCTTTATGTTTAACCCCTTCACTACCAAGCCCCCCCCCCCCTTTTTTTGGAACAAATATTACCAAAACATTTATTTGTAAAAATGGCTGCATAGCTAACATTAAATTCAAAAAAACATGTAAGATTACAAAATGTGTATTTTTTACTCATTTGTTCATCCTTTATATTAATATATGAAAAATGAAAAGCTGTCGACAGTAAACAGTGTACCTTATCCTGCAATATTTCACACAGGGTCTTAAGTGTTAGTATAAAAACAACAATGCTCTTTTTCTCGCATACAGTTGGTGTGACAAAAAAATATAAATATAGATCAAAATGGTGAAAAACCTTGCTTATGGTTATTTGCAAGGACCCTGAATGCATTACTAGCTGTGCAACTTACTAAACATAGCAACAGAATGCAAAAAAATCATTTCTGTATATCAGCATAATGCCCACATACAGTAAATACTGTTAAATCATATCATTCTGAAACAAAGTTATTTAAAATTGCTATAGCAATTTGTTTTAAAGCAATCTCTGGACTGCTCATGTAATTCTGACAGTCAGGACCGGTGCTTCCATTAGGCAACTCAGGCGGTGGCCTAGGGCTCTAGCTCACTGGGGGTGCTGCAGTGGAGCACCAACTACTGAACGAGCTGGCAGGCAGATCAAAAGGTCTTCCTGAGTGACACTGTTTCTCTACCCCCAGGAACCAAACGATAGACACAGTCACAAACTGCTCCAAATACAGAGGAGGGAGAACTTGGTCAGTTCTTCCAGGCCAACTTATCTGCTCCTTCTGCTGTATTAGAGCATTGTTGTAGATTACCGTGGCAATGCTCTGATACATTTCCTGGTGCCGGCTGGAAGTAGCCTCTAACCCCATTACAGGTCCTACCCTGCACACTATTGCCCCTAACCCTCATATAGGTCCTGACCACCCACTACAGCCCCTAACACTGGATTTAGACTCTACCCCTAACACCAACCCTAACCCAAATGCTAACCCTAACTCAGTGTAATTTCCTCTGCTGACATTAGTACTGGCATCTGCAGAGGGATTTCCTGTATACACAGTACTGAGCACTTTTGAGAGCTCTGTACTGCGAGTTTATAGCATCAGAGGCAAGCTGTCCCTGAACAAGGCCTGCCAGGGAACCCAATCTGAGTCTTTTCAGATTCTGTGGGTCTTGCTGTGTATGCCTTTCAGATTCCAAGATAACCATTGCTGAATGTGATTGTTTGACTGAAGTGATTTAAATTGATTTAAAGGGCTGCATGGAGCTTTGCACGGAGAGCTGCACACAACTCGTTTGTCAATCTGGGGCCACTAATTGTGGACCCAGTTGACAGAGGGAAGCCCAAGGTATTGAATGATACTTGGGCTCCCTGGTACCAGAAGGGATCTTGCCCTGCAGGTATTTTAAGGCATGACGATCGATGCCATTACTGGGCCTTAAAGCTTTGAGGCTGTAAGGGGTTTAACATTTTATTTGCATCAGTCATTTTAAAATCTGCCTATACTTCATATGAACAAATGATAACCAGCCTTCCTGGACCTCAAATGCATCATCGGAAATATGAAGAAACACATGTCCTATACCACATAGTGCAATGCTTGGCAGCCCTTCAAACAATCCCAGCAGATTATATATATTATATATCTGTCTTGCCTCGGTTAGAGTTGTGGTTAGCCTTGGTTAGAGCTGTGGTAACATCACAGCCTTAAAACCTGGTCAGACCATCTCACCAGTAAGTGTCCCTGGGCAAGGCACTTTAGAATTCAAGAAAAAAGGCAATTTATTAAACCCACAGCCCAGTCACAATGTTTCAAACTATACAGTCTTTATCAAGCCAATAGCCAACCACAGGGACAAGACTCTGAAGCCCCCCTGCTTCACGTGGCAGGCCATGTTGAGCAAGGTTCCCTGTATGGCATGGCTTGTGCTTATAAGGTCGCCATATAAGGACTCTCCAGCGGGGTATAGTGATCGGCGACAGAAAGGAGAATATTATGAAAATGAAAAAGGGGCAAAGGCAGTATACAAAATTAACCAGGGGAATGAATGATTTTATTTATGAAGAAAGGCTATAAAACTTGAAATTGTTTAAATTGGAAAATAATTCTCCCAGCGTGTTCGTGATAACAAGGAATTAGTAAAAATAGTGGAATTTTATTGTTGTGAGATATCGGATTATTAAATAAACAAAAAAATAAAAAATAAAAACCCAGAATAAACACCAGTGGTAGAAAGGTAAGTTACCCTTTAAATTTTGTAGAATATAAAAAAAGATCATCAGTTTCATCTTAACACATTTAAAAACATATAATCTACAAGAAAAACACACAAAAAACATAATAACACTGTTAAGAACATCAGTAGTTATGGTGCTGAGTTCTTCTATTCCTTTCCCAATAGCTGAGCATAAGTGATTATAGCTGCAGTTAGGGTGTAGAGGAATAGTAGAGATGAATGCAGTTTCCCAGACGAATCTCCCCAGCAAATAAAAGGTTACCCAAGCATGAGCCTAGACTTCATGAAGGGTACAACAGGAATAATGTTTTATTGATGCCACACTGGCTTTTATGGAAATCCTCCTGCAAGAGGACCTCCCACAGTAAACAAAAGTGATAACCAATCATAATACGGATTTACAGTAAAACCCTCTCTTCCTCTGCCTGGGAGATAATGAGATAAGTTAAGGAATAACCCAATTATCTCCAGGCAAAGGGCACACAATTTCCCCAAAACTTAGAACACCCCTGTACACACAAGGTATCCCCACAAATGACATGTCCCCTGATAGCCCCAATCTGGGAGACCACCATATTCAAATTTCACCCAGATCGGTTCAGGGGTTCTGAAAAAGTATGGAAGTCTTAGTTTAGCGACCGCACACGTGGCTCCTGCCCAAAATCTTGTAGATTATATGTTTTTATATAGATATCGCGATATGATTGAAAACTTGTTACATTCTGTAGTGGAAAATCATCCTAAAATGTGGTTGCAACAGGATTGGGCTATTGCCCATAAAGCCATGGCCACAATGGACCTCCTGAGACAACTGTTCAGCAAGTGGATCATTTTAAGAAATTCCCAGATTAATTGGACGTCACGTTCGTTGCAAGGCAGCACATGGAGCTCATTTAAATGATGTCATCTTTGTACATAGTCAAACAAATCTCCATACGTTAAAAACACTATCTAGCCTCCCTACCCCCCCTCTTGCCCCCTAAATATAGAAAAAAGATCTTACCTTTATCCCAGTCTGCTGCTGCTGGCTCTGCACCTCATCTGACTGCTTGGGTGATATCATCAGAAGTTGAGATATATACCACACACAATATGATCATATAGGATCACAGGGCTGAGACTGTCAAGGAGGCAGATCAGGGGCAGAGCCAGCAAAAGCCAAACACAGTCCTGGCAGATCAGCATCTCCTCCGAGAGGTGCATTGAATCAATGCAACTCTGTGAGGAAAATTCAGTGTCTGCATGCAGAGGGTGGAGACACTGAATGTCAGTCACACTGTGCAGCACTGCCCCCGGAAGCACCTCTAGTAGCCATCTGAGAAATGGCCAGTGAAGATATCCCTAGGCTGTGATGTAAACACTGCCTTTCCTCAGAAAAGACAGTGTTTTCTGCAAAAAGCCTGAAGGGACTGATTATACTCACCAGGACAAATACAATAGGTCAATA